GCAAGGGGGGAACCTGAGACAGCCTCAGAACAGACAGCGAACCGCTCATGCCCGGGGAACGTGGTGGTGACGCCGAGGTCCTGGAGACAGCCGACACCAACCAGGTTCCTGGAGAACGAGGGAACGTGGAGGCCAGTAAGGGAGCTTGAGGGAACTGCCGGACAGGGAAGGGACGTAGAACTGCGCGCGACGACCGGACCCGCAGAGGGGTCAGCGAGAGAGACAACAGCAGGTGCAGCAAGCGGCGTGAGCGTGGAACGGTCGCGGAAGAAGCAGGCAGAAGCACCGGAGTCGAGAGTGAAGGACAGCGACGCAGTGGCGGAGGCCGGGGACGGAGCCGGTGCAGCGACTAGACTAGGCAACCTAGGCAGTCCTACGCCTGACGCAGCAGGGGAGGCTAAGCTACACAGTGGTGCAACACCTAAACTAGAGTACACAGGGTAATAAGATCAAGCAAAACTAGAAGTGTCAGAATACAAAGCATGCAAAGCAGCACCTAGCTGATCCATGTCTAACTCAAAGATCGGCACGCCCTGGCGGAGCAGGCTGTGCCAGTCGGGGAGGTCCGGGGCCGGGCCAAAGCGACGACGAAAGAGATCGTCGAGGCGGCGGAAACAGCGGGCGGTCGGGTGCGGGCGGCGGCACAGAGTGCCGCGAAGAGGCCCGATCTGAAGCTGGTACTGGCAGGTGACAGCACCGGAGCCGCCGGTAGACGCCAAGCTGCGCGGGCCGCCACCACGGCCACTACCTCCGGAGGTGCCGGGCCAACCAGGCTGGAGACGGGCCCACTGCTGCGGCGACTGCTGCTGGGACGGTAACTGCTGCTGGGGCGGCGGCTGCGGCTGGGGCTGCTCCTGCTGCGGCTGGGGCTGCTGCTCCTGCCCACCAGTGGTAGTCCCCGCAGGCGGACTACCGTTACCACCACTACTGCCACCACCACCCCTACCCCCCTGGCGACCACGGCCACCGCGGCGCGAGCGCTGCTGCGGGTGGACCGCACCAGCCGACTCGGTGAGAGGGGCCGCCGAGGCGACCGCAACCGAAACGTCAGTGAACGCACACTGGGAGGGGGCACAACCGTGAAAGATAGAGACTGCCGGCGCACCGCTCGACTGATCGATAGTGCGCTGGCGAGTCTCGATCTCGGTGAGGGTGTCGACAAAGGCGGTGAGAGTGAGGTCACCCGGGTGCTGGCTAAGAAAGTGATCGCGAGCACTAGCGAGGCGGTCTGGCAGGCGCATGGCGATAAAATAGAGCGTCATGCAGAAAGGGGGGGGGAGCGCAGTGAGCTGGGCAGCAGTGCTGGCAGTGCGATAGCGGGTCTCTAGGGCACGCAGGTGAGTGGCAAAGTCTGCGACGGTAGGGAAAGCTGCAAGGTCTGGGAAAAGCATAGGGAAGAGCAGGCGACCAGCAGAAGCAGACGCGGGTGTGGAATAGCGGGCAATAACAGCGTCTAAGTAAGCTTTGGCCGTCTCAATAGTAGCAAAACGCGAGCGCTCAGAGACAGGGAGGGCGTGGCTAATGGCAACCTGAGCGACTGCATCGCGGGAGTCCCAGACCGCACGGGCAAGCGCAGCAGTAGAGAAGGTCTCACGGTCATCAGAGGAGGGATCAGCAGGGAGGGGAGCAGGTGCGGGGGGACGGGGGAGCAAGCCGTCGACATGGACAACCAAAGAGTGGCCATCCTGGCGCTGACCTGTAAGGTGGCGGCGGAGATCGGAAAGCCAGGCGGCGAAGTCAACCGCATGGCCCTCCGCGTCCAGTCGGAGCACGAAGTCCGCCATCGTGCAGGGTCAGCGGCACAGCTCCACAGGAACACAGCGACAGCCCCCTCCAGCACGGCGGCCGCGAAGCGCCTCAGCACGGGCGAGCAGAGGAGACGGAGCCCGAGGCGGCACGGCAGGACGAGCCGGGGCGAAGGGGTCAGGCAGGTGCGGTGGGGCCAGGCAGGTGCTGGCGAGGCCAGGAAGGCACGGCGGGGCCAGGCAGGCGCGGCGGGGCCAGGCAGGCGCGGCGGGGCCAGGCAGGCGCGGCAGGGCCAGGCAGGCGCGGCGGGGCCAGGCAGGCGCGGCGGGGCCAGGGAGGCGCGGCGGGGCCAGGCAGGCGCGGCGGGGCCAGGGAGGCGCGGCGGGGGCCAGGCAGGCGCGGCAGGGCCAGGCAGGTGCGGCGGGGCCAGGCAGGCGCGACGGGGTCAGGCAGGCGCGACGGGGCCAGGCAGGGCGCGACGGGGCCAGGCAGGCGCGGCGGGGCCAGGTAGGCGCGGCAGGGCCTGGGAGGCGCGGCGGGGCCAGGCAGGCGTGACGGGGCCAGGCAGGGCGCGACGGGGCTAGGCAGGGCGCGACGGGGCCAGGCGGGCGCGACGGAGCCAGGCAGGGCGCGACGGGGCCAAGCGGCGGTGCCAGGCAGGTGCGGCGGGACCAGGCAGGCGCGACGGGGCCAGGCAGGCGCGACGGGGCCAGGCAGGGCGCGACGGGGCCGAGCGGGCGCGACGGGGTCAGTCAGGGCGCGACGGGGCCAGGGTGGCGCGACGTGGCCCAGGAGGGGCGCGACGGGGCTAGGAGGCGCGACGGGGCCCAGGAGGGGCGCGACGGGGCTAGGGTGGCGCGACGGGGCTAGGGTGGCGCGACGTGGCCCAGGAGGGGGGGGGGGGGCGACGTGGCTAGGAGGCGCGACGGGGCTAGGAGGCGCGACGTGGCCTAGCTAGGGTACGGGCGGAAGCGGTAGGTGGGGGATGCTAACCTACGCGTGATACCATGTTAAAGTGAGAACGAATAATGACTAGAGGTGGAAACCTAGAACAAATACTAGTTGGTTGTACTCACTAGAAGCATACCTCAGTCTAGCCTATAATTTCTACATAGATAATATGTATAAGTTGACACAGGAGTCTAAGTATAGAATCTGCAACCACAAGTACTTAACCAAGAATCTTTGCTGGAATGGTAGACTAGTAAGACAGCGGAAGTCTTATAAGAGTGAACTTGAGCACATGAACTTGTGGGTAGTCGAAGGTTGAATAAGCTGAGCACATAATTCTGTGTAAAGTCAAGGTTAATAATAGAAAGGCATTACAAGGAGTTATAGCTCTAGGAAAAGTACCTGTTCGGCTAGTTGCGCGCTATGTGACCTATTCGTCATACTATAGGCTCGCGACTGTTCGCGTGATTGAAGCGGCTCGTTACGCCTATTCGCGTAACTGAAACGATATGCTGACGTCATCTTCGAGACCCGCGATGCTTTGCTGACATCAGCACTCGGGCGTGGCTACTTATTGAGAAACGCGATATTGCAAGCTACACAAAAAACGGAACTTGCAGGAATGCAAAACTTCATTTATCACAACACTCCCCTTCATTCCTGGAAGTTCGATGTAGTCACGTCGTGGTTGGAGTTCGGCGAATGAAGTCTGCAGTTTTGAATCTTGTGACGTGTCAACTTCATGTGCTGTAAGTAGTCGGCGGTCATTCCATTGGTCAAATGGTAGACCTATCGCGTTCTTCCCTTGTTGATGACGAATTTTGGTTTTGACGAAGTGCGTGTAGATCCTCCTTTCCCCCCTCACTTCGGCAGAGTGAAAATGAGTCGGGTTGAAAGTGGTTGGGGTTGCACCAATGAACGCGGCAAGGTCGAAGGGGATGAATGCAAAACCACGAAAGGTGTTGCACGTGGTGGAGAGGAGCCTCGACATCATCCAAAGGCTTGACAAAGAATCGTGAAGTAACGGGCAGATCTGATAGTGAAGTTTCGGGCAGAGAAATTTGTTGAGTCAGCAGTGCACGCAGCTGCTCACGTAGTTCGTGTAGGATACTGTTCAACCGTTCTGCTTCGTTGCATTGTTGAACGCGATGATGAGGGCTTTGGTAGTAGTTGATGCCCACGCCTTGCTCGTAGTCGTTGGAGGTCGTAGTGTAGTAATTGGCTTCTTTATAGTATAGGAAAGTTTGCACCGTGGTACTGAGCTCGCTTGCTGCTATAGCCAACCAAGCAAGAATCAAGATGGTGAAATATGAAGGAAGTAAAAGCCTAAAGAATGAGTAACCTTTCTCTGGGAGAGGGGTAGTTGAAGAATTGTCAGAAGGCTTGTCGAGAGTAGTTGTAGCGTCGAAGAATAATTCAGGTGCAAGTTGCAGAGTTTCCTCGTCTTCTTGAATAATATTTTCCTTGATATTGACGGCAGGTGTGTCGGCAAGGATGTCGGTGGTGCTGCTACTCAGATTTTCTTTTTCAATGCTGCTGAACTGCATTGGTGGAGCGGTTACCAAAGCTACTGCTGCGATGATTGAAGGAGCTTGAGGGAGAGTGACATCTTCGGAAGATTTTGCTGCTTTGAAGCGTAAGACAACTACGCCATTCTTGGTTACTGCTTTTCCGATGTATGTGTTCTCTACATTATGTAGTAACTCTTGCTCTTGTGTCGTGCAGTTTCCGACCGTGCGGATTTTCTTCTTCAAGAGTTGGTTAGTTGACACTAAATTGAAGCCGAGGTTGTTGACGAGTAAAACCTTGGTAAGGCATAAAGAGTTCCCTGTATCGATTGAAGTCAAAAGTAGACTGCCGATATTTTCTGCTGCAATTGCTTGACTGTTGGCGAGTGTGATTGGGCAGGGTTGAAGAAGTCGACGACAGTTGTACATGAAAGGGTTTGTTGAAGAGACCATATGATGGCCACAACAGCTATCCAAGTACCAATTATCGGTATCTGTACTGCAACCAGCCATGTGAGTGTTGGCAGTAGGTAAGCAAAATTTTGACGTTACAGTTTTGTTGGTAGAGGTTGAATGAATGTCGAGCGGCTTTGATAACGTGCTTGGAGGGGCAGAACTGAGTGCCGTTGGTGTTGTTGAATTTGCAGATGCTGATTTTGGAGGCGTAGGCTGCTGCAAAAACTACTTCGAAGGCTGTCGTAGTTGCTATGATGATTGCAACCTCTTCGATTCTTCTGGAGGTAAATACCTCTTGTTAAAGTAGCATCGGTCGGTAGAATGTCCTCCGTTGTTGCAAGTATGATAGAAGAATCGAGGACGCCGAGTTGGTGTTGAATAGAAACTGAGTTGCATATTCCCCCTTTTGTTGCGTTGAGACTGCAGGTCAAGATCTTGCTGTTCTGCTTGAAGATACGAGGAAATTTCAGCTTCGGATAGGTTCGGGTTCATGCGCAAGAAGGCGCGCGTATGTCGCCATTCGGGTCCAAGGCAAGCAAGAAGGACCGTGTGATACATTTCACGAGGGAAGTATCCACCACTCTTCTCCAGTTGATCTCGTAGTGTGCGAACTCGATTGACGTTATCCATGACGTTCTCGTTTGTCATCATTTGCACACTTGTCAGCTGCGAAAGAATCTTACTCACTGTTATTGTACCTTTTGCCATGTACACCCCCTTCAAGTGGTTCGATGCAGTTTCAGCTGGAGTAGAACTTGCATGAAAAGATCGAATGCCAAGCTGCTCCTTTGGCGATAAGTTCCGAACAAGAACCGTATACGCCCCGAGAGAGGCGTGCAAAAAACTCTGCTGCTCCAATTGTGTTCCCATAACAGGATACGTAAACTCGCCGGTGAAGAACGGCCATAGCCCAGCGGACTGCGACAGAAGCTCAAACTCGAAACTCCATGAGTAAAAATCCACTCCGTTAAAAGGTATGGTGGTCTTGATCTGTGTATTGTTAAGCAAATTTGGCGGTCGAAAGATAATACCCGGTTTTTGAGGCTGTTGCTGTTGCTGAAATTGCTGTGGCTGTTGCTGCTGATGTTGCTGTTGTTGCTGATTTTGCTGTGACTGTTGCTGTTGTTGTTGCTGAGCAGGTGAACGCCCGAAGATGTAAAAGGGCTGCTGCTGCTGCGACTGTGGCTGCTGCGCAAAAGGTGAGAAGGCAAATGAGCCAGAACTTGGAGCTGTCAAGGTTCATTCCACTAAACGCTGACGATATTGACTCAGTTGAAAACGGTGGTTGTGCTGTTGTCTGTTGTTGTGCTGTTGTCTGTGTTTGTTGGTGTTGTGCTGCAGGTGTAGTCGATGAAGTCCCTGGAGTGCTGACAGAAGGCGGATTCTGTTGCTGCTGCTGCATACCGATATGCGCATAAGCCGGTGGAAGCGGTCCAGAGGCTGAGAGACCTGTGGCGCTCGTGGAGACAGGTACTCCAGTAGTTCCAGAACTTGATCCAGTAGATTGTGCTGGCGTTGTTCCACTCATTTTTTACTGTAGTCTTAATTCCAGACAGCTCTCATACCATGTAATAATTTGCCAGGTGGTGTAGGAGACTAATTATAGAATCTGCAACCACAAGTACTTAACCAAGGATCTTTGCTGGAATGGTAGACTAGTAAGACAGCGGAAGTCTTATAAGAGTGAACCTGAGCACATGAATTTGTGGGTAGTCGAAGGTTGAATAACCTGAGCACATTATTATGTGTAAAGTCAAGGTTAATAATCGAAAGGGATTAAAAGGATTTATAGCTCTAGGAAAAGTACCTGCTCGGCTAGTTGCGCGCTATGCGACCTATTCGTCATACTATAGGCTCGCGACTGTTCGCGTGATTGAAGCGGCTCGTTACGCCTATTCGCGTAACTGAAACGATATGCTGACGTCATCCTCGAGACCCACGATGCTTTGCTGACATCAGCACACGGGCGTGGTTACTTACTGAGAAACGCGATACTGCAAGCTACACCAAAAACGGAACTTGCAGGAATGCAAAACTTCATTTATCACAACATGATTTAGGGCTGTCTGAGAATCAGACGGGGTTTGAATGTTTGGTGTGACCATCAGAAGAAAATTTTGAAGGAGTCTGAGATTTCAGACGGAAATTTTACACTGGTCTTAAAATTCAGACGAAAAATTTGCATCACTTGTAATTTTTGTCACTTGTAATTTCGACTTCGATTTGTTAGTTTTTTTCTAAGAGCGTTTTCTTACGAACCTCTTCCCAGGCTACCCAATTCCCAGACTCAAGAGTGCGCTCGAAGGTTTTCTTGTCAAACTCACTTCGTTTCAGTATCACATTCTCAACCGCTTTGATTCTGCTCGGGTCATAATCGAACTATAGAGACCCCCACCTCTCTGGAAAATGTGACCGGCGAAGAAGTTTAAAACACGCCCTGCCTGAACCTTGTCAGTCTGAACCACGCAGAAGAGCGCAGCGCAGGAGTCATTGCCAAACATATTTAAGTATGTTAGTATAGAGTGCCTCGGGCGTGGTCTAGTCGGCCCCTGCGCTCGCCCGCGCCGGCCCCTCGCGCCCGTCCTAGCCGGCCCTCGCGCCCGCTCTAGCCGCCCCCTTCGCGCCCGTCCTGCCAGCCTCCTCGTGCCCGTCCCTAGCCGGCCCGCGCGTCCGCCCCCGCCGGCCCCTAGCGCTCGTTCTAGCTGGCCCCAGCGCCCGTTTTTGCCGGCCCCCAGCGCTGTCCTAGCCGGCCCCTCACCCCCTAGCGCCCGTTCCAGCCGGCCCTTGCACCCGCTCTTGACGGCCCCTGCGCCCGTTCCTCCTCAGTCGGCCCGCCTCCGGCCTACAGCACCGCACAGCACCGCCGTGTGCCGCACAGAACCGCTCTGCACCGCACTGCACCGCACTGTACTACTCTGCACCGCACAGTACCGCACTGTATCGCACAGTACCGCTCTGCACCGCACAGCACCGCACTGCACTGCACTACTCTGTACCGCACAGCACTGCACTGCACCTGCACATCACTGCACCGCTGCTGCATCGTTCCTGATGGCGGACTCCATGCTCCGCTTCGACGCAGAGGGTCAGCCGCTCGAGATTGACGCGTGGCGGGTCGACCTTTGCCGTCACCTCACTGGTCAGCGGCAGGACGGCCACTCTCTGGGGGTCCACCTTGACGGTACGCTACCCTGCCCTGACCCCCCTGCTCCCCTGCCTGCTGACCCCTCGTCCGCTGACCGTGAGTCTGCCCTCTACCTGCTGGCCACCCGCCTCCCTGACCGTCTTGCTACTGCGCGCGACCACTTCCTTAGCATTCACCCCAGTGACCTCACCCTCACTGTCTTTGTCGACACCCTATCTGCCATAGAGACCCGCCAGCGCTCTATCGCCCAGACCAGCGGTACTGTGCCGGTCCCTATCTTTCAGCGTTGTGCCCCTGATAAGTGCACCTTCTCCGACGGTTCTGCTGCTGTGACCCAGATCCGTGCCGGGAAGGGCCACCGCCCCAAGGCAGGGCGCGGCGGTGGGAGTGGCGGTGCAGGTGGAGGTGGTGGTGGAGTCGGGTCGCCTAGTGGTAGCGCTGACGAGGGGACCCTAACAGGTGCAGCCGAGCAGCCGTCTCTGCAGCCGCACGTGTCGCAGCCGTCTCTGCAGCCGCACGTGCCGCAGCAGCAGAGGAGGTCGGGTGGTCTCCTGCCCGGGTGGCCTAGCGCTGGTGGTGGCACTGGCCATGGTGGTCTTGCGCTTGGTGGCGTTTCGGGTGTCGTTTCGAGTGACGGACGCTGTCAGTACCAGCTCCAGACCGGTCCTCGCCGTGGCTTCGTTTGCGGTAAGATCGGTCACACCTCCGTCCGCTGTTTCCGTCGCCTGGACGTCCTATTTTGTCAGCGCTTTGGCCCAGCGCCCGACCTCCCCAACTGGCACAGCTTACTTCGCCATCGTGTTCCGATCCTTGATATGGACATGGATGAGATTGTTGCTGCCTTGCATGTGATGTATGCTGATGACTCTAGTGTGACTGATTCTTACTACCCCTTGTTGCCTAGTGTAGCCGTGTCTAGTTGTGCCTCCCCTGCTGCGTGGGGCATAGGATCCCCTGCTTTGTTTAGCAGTCGTGTGGCACGTGTAGTCGTCGACAAGCACTAGGAAGTAGCGCTCTCGACGCGGCCCATGGAGGTGGGCGGGGGTCCCAGACGTCCATGTGCAGAGTCTGTAGCGGTGCTGTGGTAGGGGAAAACGAGGACGAGTGAGGGGCACGGCGGAGCCAGCCCTCGACGCAGGGTGTGCAAGGTGGGGCTGGGGAGGAGGGAAACTCGGGGAACGACCCGGGGAGGCCTTGGAGGAGACCGTGCTGTGACATGTGATGCAGACGCGGGAGCGCAGGGTGACCTAGGCGGTGGTGCCAGAGAAGAGTCGGGTGAGTGAGAGACCGACAGGAGCAGGCATCAGCAACCGGGGGAGACGCAGTCACCCGAGGGGGGGTCCCACCCGAGGGGGTCACCGTGTCCAGTGTGAAAAGACCGGACATCGGGTCCCGTGGGAACGTGGACAGGGGGGCACCAGTGGCGGCCTCGGTACAGACAGCGTACCGCTCGTGTTTCAGGGAACGTAGTGGTGACGCCAAGGTCCTGAAGGCAGGCGACACCAACTAGGTTCTTGGAGAACGAGGGGATGTGCAGTCCTGTGAGCGAGCCCGCAGGAACCGCCGGGCAGGGGAGGGTGGTGGAACTACGGGCGACTACTGGGCCAGAGAAGGGGTCAGCAAGAGAGATTGCGGCAGGGACAGGAAGCGGTGTCAACGTGGTGGAGTCACGCAAAAAGCACCGGGAAGCGCCAGAGTCGAGGGTGAAGGAGAGCGCGGCAGTGGCGGCCGGAGGCGAAAGAGCGACGGAAGCACCAAGGCTAAACAAAGCAGGGGATCCTACGCCTGTCGCAGCAGAGGAGTCTAAGCAAGACACACCTATACTAGGCAACAAGGGGTAATAAGATGGAAGCACACTAGAGTGATCACCATACATCACATGCAGAGCAGTAACAATCTCATCCATATCCAGATAAAAAATCTGAACCCTACGATTAAGCAAACTGTGCCAGTCTGGGAGCTCGGGCGACGGGCCGAAACGCTGACGAAACAGGTCGTCCAGGCGACGGAAACAGCAGACGGAGGTGTGACCGATCTTACCGCAAACGAAGCCACGGCAAGGACCGGTCTGGAGCAGGTACTGACAGCGCGCGTCACCCGAACCACCACCTAGCAGCCCACCACACGCACCACCACCACGTTCAGCGCTACCACCAGCGCCAGGCCGCCTGGGCGGGAGACCACTCGACTGTCTGTGCTGCGGCTGCGACTGCTGCGGCTGCGACTGCTGCGGCTGCTGCGGCTGACGCGAGTCCGGCTGCAACGCCGGCGGCTGCTGAGACAGCTGCTCGGCTGCACCTGGTAGGGTCCCCTTGTCCACACCACCACCAAGAGACCCAGCTCCACCACCACCTACACCTGCACCCCCACCCCCGCCGCCACGCCCAGCCTTGGGGCGGCGACCCTTCCCCGGACGAACCTGTGCTGCAGCGGTAGTCTTAGCCACAACAACAGAACCGTCAGAGAAGGTGCAATGAGCGGGGGCGTAACCCTGAAAGATAGGGACCGGCACAGTACCGCCTGTCTGAGCGATAGAGCGGTGGCGGGCCTCTATAGCGGACAGGGTGTCAACAAAGTCAGTGAGGGTGAGGCCTGCGGGGTGGATGCTAAGGAAGTGGTCACGGGCAGTGGCAAGACGGTCAGGAAGGCGGGTGGCTAGCAGGTAGAGAGTAGAGGGGAGGGGCGGCTGGTGGACCAGAAGCTGTGTGGGAGTGCAGGCAGCACGCCAGGTCTCGTCTATAGTGCGCAGGTGAGCGGCCAGGTCGGCGACAGTGGGGAACGACGCAAGGTCAGGGAAGAGCATGGGGAGGATCAGACGACCGACCGAGGCAGCAGGCGGGGTGGAATAGCGCTGGACAACAGCATCTAGGAAAGCCTGGGCAGTGGTGATAGACCTGAAGCGAGGTCGCTCGGACAGGGGGAGGGCATTGCTAATGACAAGCTGTGCGACAGCGTCACGGGACAGCCAGACAGAGCGAGCAAGGGCAGCGGCCGCAGCGGACTCACGCTCAGCGGACGAGGGGTCAGTAGACAGTGTAGAGGGGGGGTCAGGGCAAGGGAGAGTACCATCAAGATGGACAGACAGAGAGTGGCCATCCTCCCGCCGACCAGTGAGGTGGCGACGAAGGTTAGCAAGCCACGCATCAAACTCAATCTGCTGGCCCTCCGCCATCTGTGACAATAGAGGGCAGTATGGTGCGGTGCAGTACGGCACGGGTAGTGCAGTGCGGTGCAGGACAGTGCAGTGCGGTGCAGTGTGGTACAGTGCGGTGCAGTGCGGTGCAGTACGGTGGAGTGCGGTACAGTTCGGTGGAGTGCGGTGCAGTCCGTGGCCTCGTCGCTCAGCCACCCCGTGGCCCTGTCGCCCAGCCGCACCTGCAGCCCCGTCGCCTAGCTGCTCCGCGGCCCCGTTGCCCAGCTGACCCGCGGTCCCCTCGCCCAGCTGCCCAGCTGCCCCTTCGCAGTGTTTCCCAGTCTCGGCTAACTCCACCGGCCCTTTCCACCGCTCTCCACCGTCCTGCACCGTGCCTCACTATACTGCACCGCCCTCCACCACACTGCACCGCACCCCACCGCACTGCACTGCGTTCCACCGCACTGCACCACTCAGCACTGTGTGGCACCGCACTGCACAGCGTTCCACCGCACTGCACCGTACAACACTTCTCTTCACTGCTCCATGTCGCTCAGTCCCACCCTTCCTCACCTGTTCGTGGCTGCAGCGCCCATAATGACGGACTCAATACTGCGCTTTGACGCGGAGGGTCAGCCGGTTGAGTTTGACGCGTGGCTCGTCGACCTCCGCCGTCACCTCACTGGTCAGCAGCAGGACGGCCACTCCCTAGCCGTCCACATCGACGGTACGCTCCCCTGTCCTGAACCCCTGCTGCTCTCTCCGCTGACCCCACGTCTGCTGGCCGTGAATCCGTGGCTGCTGCTGTCTGGTTGTCACGTGACGCTGTCGCGTAGCTCGTGATTAGTCATGCCCTGTCCCTGTCTGAGCGCCCCTGCTTTAAGTCAGTCAGGACTGCACAGGAGTTCCTAGAGGCTATTGTCGCGCGCTACTCCATTTCGTCCTCTGCATCTGCTGGCCGCTTGATCCTTCCCATGCTCTTCCTTGATCTCGCGTCCTTCTCCACCGTCGCTGACTTGGCCATGCACCTGCGCATGCTAGACGCGAGCTGCACTGAGGCCCAGCTTCCTGTGTTCCAGCCCCCTATCTGTTCTTCCCTTTACCTGCTTGCCACCCGCCTCCCTGAACGCCTTGCTACTGCCCGCGACCACTTTCTAAGTTTGCACCTGCTGATCTCACCCTCACTGACTTTGTCCACACCCTGTCCGCCATAGAGACCCGTCAGCGCTCTATCGCCCAGTCTAGCGGTACTGCGCCAGTCCCTATCTTTCAGGGTTGTGCTCCCGCTCAGTGCACTTACTCAGACGGTTCTGCGGCTGTCGCTGAGACAGCCCCTGCTGCTCCGAAGGTACGATCCCCTATCCTGACCCCCCTGCTACTCTCCCTGTTGACCCCACGTCTGCTGACCGTGAGTCCGCTGCCGCTGCTGCCTTTGCCCGTGCTGTCTGGTTGTCGCGTGACGCTGTCGCACAACTCGTGATTATCCATGCCCTCCCCCTGTCTGAGCGCCCCCGCTTTAAGTCGGTCAGGACTACGCAGGAGTTCCTAGAGACTATTGTTGCGCGCTATTCCACCCCGTCCTCCGCCTCTGCCGGCCGCTTGATCCTTCCCATGCTCTTCTATGAACTCGCGTCTTTCTCCACCGCCGCTGACCTCGCCACGCACCTGCGCACGCAAGATGCGAGCTGGTGCACTGCCTGCACTGAGGCCCAGCTTTGTGTGTTCCAGCCCCCTATCTTATCTACCCTTTACCTGCTTGCCACCTGCCTCCCTGACCACCTTGCCACTGCCCGCGACCACTTTTGGAGTCTGCACCCCAGTAACCCACCCTCACTGACTTTGAAGACACTCTGTCTACCACAGAGACCCGCCAGCGCTCTATCGCACAGTCTAGTGGTACTGCGCCGGTCCCTATCTTTCGGGGTTGTGCCCCCGCTCAGTGCACTTACTCTGACGATTCTATTGCTGTTGCAGAGACAACCCTTGCTGCGGAGACCGCCGCCGCAGTTGCCGCAGCGCAGTTTCGTCAGGGTAAGGGTCATCACCCCAAGGCTGGGCGCGGCGGTGGTAGCGTAAGAGGGAGTGGAGGCGGTGGTGGAGGTGGTTCGTCCACTGGTAGTACTGACGAGGGGGCTTGGGCTCATGCCTCGGAGCATCAGTAGCAGCAGCAAGCGCCACACCACCAGCAGCAGCAGCCGCAGCAACCGTAGCGGTAGCAGCAGCAGCAGCCGTAGCAGCTGCAGTAGCGGCGGGTCGGCCGCTTTCCGCCGGGGTGGCCTGGCGCCGGTGGTGGTGGTCGTCGCGGTGGTCGTGCGCGCAGCTCGTCATCGGGTGGTGGTGTGAGTGACGCCCCCTACCTGTACCAGCTCCAGACTAGTCCTCGCCACGGCCTCGTGTGCGATAAGATCGGTCATACCCGCACCCGTTGTTGCAGTTGCCTGGACGACTTGTTTCGTCTCCACTTCGGCCCCGCGCCTAACCACCCCAACTGGCACAGTCTACTCCGCCGTGGTGTTAGGATTTTTGATATGGACATGGATGAGTTTAGCTCTGAATTGTATGTGCTGTATGTCGATGACTCTAGTGTGACTGGTTCCTCTTACCCCGTGTTGCATAGTGTAGGTGTGCCCAGTGTGCCTAGCCTAAGCTCCCTTGCTACGTCAGGCGTAGGACCCCTTGCTTTGTTCAGCCTTGGCTCCAACCTAGCTCCTCCGACCCCTGCCGCCACTGCCGCGCTCTTGTTTACTCTGGACTCTGGCGCGTCTCGGTGTTTCTTTCGTGAGTCCACTACCCTTACACCACTTGCCGTCCCCGCTGCAGTTGCCCTTGCTGACCCTTCCTCAGGCCCTGTAGTCACTCGTAGCTCCACCACCCTTCTCTGTCCGGCGGTTCCCTCGGGCTCCCTTACAGGCCTGCACATCCGCTCGTTCTCTAGGAACCTAGTTGGTGTTGGCTGCCTTCAGGACCTCGGCGTCACCACTACATTCCCTGGTCAAGAGCGGTACGATGTCTGTACCGAGGCCGCCACTGGTGCTCCCCTCACGACGTTCCCTCGAGACCCGGTATCTGGCTTGTTCACGCTAGACACCACGTCCCCCCTGGTTGGGACGTCTCCCCAGGTGTCTGCGTCTACCCAGGTTGCTGCGGCTTGCTCGTGTCAGTCGCTTACTCTGTAAGAAAAAGGGACTTTGATTGAAATGAGAGAGGGCATACAAGCTTATGTACTAACCATAGGAAAGGGTTGGAAGGGATAAGGGAAATTGGAGGGAATCCCAAGGGAATCCTCCCAAATCATGGGGATTTGGGATGGATTGGGTTGGGATAGGTTGGGGATAAAAAAAGCTACACCCATCCTAACAAACATTCCTAACCCTAAACAAACAACTGACTAACACACAAATGTGCAACATTGTAGCCTATCTCCAACACACCCCCTAGGCTGCAACGGCTGAAGTCATTGGGACGCCAAGGCCCATAGCACGGAGGAGGCGGTAGTGGTCACGACGACTAGGAGACTTGGTGAACAGGTCTGCGAGGTTATAGTCAGAAGAAATGTGCTTCACCCACAACTGGCCACGCTGGACCAACTTGCGCATAAAGAAGTGCCGAAGCTCGATATGCTTGATCCGTTGGTGGAAGACAGGGTCTTTTGTAAGGTGTATAGTGCTCTCGTTGTCACACCATAGGGTCGGGGTCCGCTGAGGATGCCCGAGCTCAGCCATGAGGTAGGTAAGCCATCGGGCTTCTTGGGCTGCCATGGTGCCTGCGTACAACTCTGCTTCGTAGGACGACAAAGAGACGGACGATGAGCGTGTAGATCGCCAGCTGATGACACCACTACCAAGGGTAAAGCAATAGCCCTGGGAGGAGCGTCGGTCAGCTTGGTCGTCAGCCCATGAGGAGTCGCTCTACCTTTCGAGGTGAGGAGGGGACGTGCCACCGAGAGTGAGGACAAAGTCTTTGGTGGCTTGAAGGTAGCGAAGGACACGCTTAGTAGCTGACCAGTGGCGATTGGTGTAACGACCAGCAGCAATGTAACATGAGAGCAAAGTGATGGGATAGGCCAAGTCAGGCCTTGTGCACATCATCGCATACATGAGTGAGCCGACGAGCTCGGGATAAGCAGCATCACAAGGCTCAGGTGATGGAACTGACGGGGTAGTCAGATCGTGTTGCAGGGGAAGCGGCGTAGCCATCAACTTCAACTTCTTATGCCATTTGCGAGGAGCTTGCTTCAGCCTGTAGACGGGTCGATTCAACTTCCAGACTGTACCGGATGGAAAGGGTAAGGGGAACCATTGAGGCCGTTCCATGAAAATATCCTCAGTGAGGTCTCGTTGCAGGAATGCCGCTGAGACATCCATAGAGTGGACCTCGAAGTTGCCTCGAAATCCAGCCCCTTTTTCTGCGTGAAGCCTTTGGCATAGTAACGCGCCTTAAAGATCGGAAGTTCACCAGGTAGCTGTTTGACACGAAACACCCATTTTCTGCGGACGATGTTCACTCCTGGAGGAGGAGAGACGTCGGTGATAGAGTTGTTGCGAATGAATGCTTCACACTCCGCGATCATGGCTGCGAGCCACTGCGGAGTGCGGCCTAGAGATGGCTTCATCATACGTATTCGGGGTTGGGATGGATGGATTCTCTGAGAAGTTGAGGGTTGGAGCATCTGCACGATCGGGGAAGAGATAGCAGAGCTGGCGAATGGCAGCAACGACATCAATCAGCTCCTCATGCCTATCCTCCTGCAGGCCAGGCATGAGTGCACCCCCGGCAGGAAGAGGCGGATTGACGGAGATTCGGACGCAGAGAGCGAGAGGCAAGATGGGACCATGAGAACGGGTACGATGAGCGACGGGGGAGGAAGGAGGCAGAAGAGGAGGAAGTGGGACGGAAACATAAGAACGACCTTGGCGACGACGCCGATAGGTGACGGGTCGGGCGGCGGGAGGGGGAGCGGCAGGTGCGGATGCCGGAGAAGGGGGGGAGGAAGGCGCAGGCAATGGTGACAGCGCGGGAGGAGGGGAAGAGGGAGCACCCGAGGTGGCGGGGGAAGGAGGGTGGGAAACAGAGGAAGGAGACGGAGCGGGTGAGGAGGAGAGGGTAGAGGAATCAGGAGTGGTGGCAGCGGGACTGGAGAGCAAGGCGTCAAAATCGGCCCAGACGAGCGAAGGTGGAGCGGGGGCGGGAGACGAGTGAAGATAAAATGGGGGGGTCTCGTCAAAAGCAACATCTCAGCTACAGATGAGTTGATTAGTGGATGGATTGAGAAAAAGTTAGGCTGAAGAATCGAGGTTGTGACCAAGGTAGATGCATGTCTGAGTCTTGGGAGCGAACTTGCCGCCATGGGCATGGTGATCTTGAGGATTGAGGAGGACATAAGCGGTACACCCCCAGACGCGGAGCGGGCGTGCACTTGGCTTGGAGCCTGTCTAGAGCTCGGCAGGCGTGACCTCGGGGCAAAGGGGATGAGGGTGAAGGTTGTAGAGGAGGGTGGCGTGAAGGAGAGCGTATCCCCAAAGGGAGGGTGGAGAGGGAGCATGCGTGAGAAGACAGCGGGCAATTTGCACAAGAGTGCGATTGCGGCTTTCCGCGATGCCATTTTGCTCCGGGCTGTGCGGAAGAGTGAAGGTTTGGCGAATTCCTTGTGAAGCACAAAATATGTGAAGGGTGTGATTGCGAAACTCGCCACCGACGTCGCAATGGAGACACTTGACAGAGGTGCGAAAGTGGGTTTGAGCTTACCGAACCGAGGCGATGACGATACAAGGGACCGCCACTTTGGAGGAAAGGAGGTGGACCGATGCGTAGCGAGAGTGATCGTCCACGAGTACCAAGAAGTATGAATGCCCACCACGGGATTGAACAGGCGCCGGCCCCCAGAGATCCATATGGATGAGATCAAGGGGGGCGGCCGCGGCGGAGGGTGATGGAGGGTGAGGCAATTGACGCAATTTACTTTGTGTACAGTCCAGACAGGGAGGTGCTGGTGAAGGCGATGGTGGGGGAAGAGAGTCGGGAAGATGGAGAAGGAGTTTCTTAGAGGCGAGCTCTGAGAGGGTGCGAAAATTGGGGTGCCCGAGCTGGTGGTGGAAAAGTAAGGTAGGGTCGGAGAGGTGGCAAGACGAGCACGTGGAGGTTGTGTGAACTTCAGTGTGAGGTGGAGGCACTTGAAGCATGTAGAGGCTGTTGGAGGAGAGAGTAAAGCGCGCGAGGCACATATTGCAGGTTGGATCAATGAGATCACAGTGGTTGGAGTGAGTGGGGAAGATGGTGGTGACCCCTGCCTGCTGAATTTCGTGCTGTGCGAGGAGATTGTGCCTTAGCGTGGGAAGGCATATACCAGTGACAGAGCCGGAAGGGAATGCCGGGCATGGAAGTGTGGATGAGCCATGGGCGAGGATGGTGAAGCTCGAGTCGACACCAAGTAAAGGGATGGGTGCTTGGTATGGTTTGAAGGACTCTTTGTCCTTGAGGACGGTGTGGGTTGCTCCGCTATCAAGGACGAATTCGAGTGTCAAGGAGCGTTCAGGCACCGAGTACTGCGAAGTGGTTTCATTGATCATGGCAACGCCTGGGAACAACAGGTCGAGTCGAACATCAGGACTAGGGTTTTCAACAGTTGCATCCTGACTAGTCTGAACTTCAACCTGGTTGGCCTGGCGCATGCGGAGCCTATTGGGTGGCTTGGAGTTGACGCCAATCTTCGCAAACCACTCGTCGTCTTTCTTTTTGAAGCACGTGGCGAGTGGGTGGTTGGTGCCATCGCAGACCTGTCCTGTACGAGGGCCCATTTTAATGACGTAGGGGCAAGGCGGGTAGCGGTTACGAGCTGGAGGCGCATTGGGACGTGCAGTTGGGGAGGAGATTGGAGCGCGAAGTGCATTTGCTCGAGCCTGCGCGGTATTGTCTTTCTCGGCGAAAAGAAGCACAGAGGAGACTTTAGCGAAGGTGAGCTCTTCTGGTGGGAAATGGAGGAGCATGGAGCAGGTGACATTGTAGGAAGGAGTCAAACCAACGAGGAGAGCTGCGGCAGGGGCTTGTTCTAGGAAAACAATGCCAAGCTGCTTTAGTTCCTGGTGAATACCTTGAATCTCCGCCACATAATCTGCCATGCCAGGGCATTCCTCCAAGCACACCTGCAACATGCGAGGAATGAGGATTGCCACCCCCACAGCTGTTTTATTGAGGAAGCGGTCATTGAGGTATTCCCAAATGGCATGGGCGGACGGGTAGCTATGATACGTTTTGACTAGGTCAGAAGGAGTGGTGCTGACGAACACGCCAATGATAGCAGCATCGGCCTGCTCCCACACAGTGTAAGCTTCCTCCTACTTGGTTGCCAGATCTTTGTGCACCTTGGACTCCTTTTCAGTGGCATTCGCTGGGAGTTCCTTCGGTGGAGTGGGCATCTTCCCTTTGCCGCGGTTGAGCAGGACATTTTTCAGACAGATGCCTTCGACCTTGCGGCTTAGAAGGTGCTTGTCGATGCCGTAGCTCCATTCCTTGAAATTGGGGCTTGTTCCATTGGGGTCAAGGCGCAACGGAGTGATTGGGGTACCAAGGGATGCGGAGGGGAAGGCCATGGTGTAAAGGGCCCCTTTCTCCAGCGCGGAGCGCAGCTCTTAAGTAGTTGATAGGAAAATGAGCTGCACGCAGCGCGGGCTCCACGAAAAATGACGCTTTTCCGAAGCGGATTTTCAATGCTGGGAGTGTTGATTTGTCAGAACTCAATAGGAAACGAGCTGTCCGGAAAGTCACGAAATATTGATTACATCTACTGCTTCTGTACTGCTACACCGCTACACCCGCTACTGCACCCGCTGCTGCTCCCGTTCTGCTTCGCCGCTGAGACCCCCTGCCGTTGCAAGGGCGACGGGCGGCAGCCCGTTCAGCTTCGACGTGCAGATGCAGGGCGACGGGTGACGGCCCGAGATAGGTGCGATGAGCAGATGCGGGGCGACGGAAGGCAGCCCAACGTAAGGTGCTGTGCAGATGTGGGGCGACGGGCATCAGCCCGAAGAGAAGCACCACACAGATGCAGGGCCCATCCAGCCAGCCCGAAGAGAAGAGAAGAGCTGCGCGGATGGAGGGCGACGGGCGCCAGCCCGAAGAGAAGAGAAGATCCGCGCAGCCGCGCGGATGCGGGGCGACGGGCGCCAGCCCGAAGAGAAGAGAAGAGCCGCGCAGCCGCGCGGATGCGGGGCAACGGGCGCCAGCCCGAAGAGAAGAGAAGAGCCGCGCAGCCGCGCGGATGCGGGGCGACGGGCGCCAGCCCGAAGAGATGAGCCATGCAGCCGCGCGGATGCGGGGCGACGGGCGTCAGCCCAAGGAGAAGCGCCACGCTGAGTTGAGGCGGCTAGAGAAGCTTTGCGTCGTAAGATGCAAATGCTAAGCTCCAACGGAGCGAGAAGATCAGTAAGAAAACGAGACTTTGATTGATTGAAATGAGAGAGGGCATACAAGCTTAAGTACTAACCATAGGAGAGGGTTGGAAGGGATAAGGGAAATCGGAGGGAATCCCAAGGGAATCCTCCCAAATCGTGGGGATTTGGGATGGATTGGGTTGGGATAGGTTGGGGATTAAAAAGCTACACCCAACCAAACAAATATTCCTAACCCTAAACAAACAAATGACAAACACACAAATGTGCAACATTGTAGCCTATCTCCAACATACTCACCCGTCGCTTCTGTGGCACCACCGCCTAGGCCACCCTTCCCTCACACGTCTCCGTCACACGTCTGAGCACGGTCTTGTCTTAGGTCTCCCTGCGTCGTTCCCAGCGCTCCCCTCCTTGGCAGCGCCACCGTGCACCCCCTGTGTTGAGGGCCGGCTCCGCTGTGCCCCTCACTCCTCCTCGTTCCCCCCCACCATCACACCACTGCAGACCCTACACATGGACGTCTGGGGCCCTGCCCCCGTCCATGGGCTGTGTCACGAGCGCTACCTCCTAGTGCTTGTCGACGACTACACGCGCTACACCACGGTGTTTCCCCTGGAGCGGAAGCTCGATGAGCCTGACATTCTTATCCAATGGCTTGTCTTTGCGCGTGTTCACCGAGGTCTCCTTGTGTTGCGTCTTCACTCTGACCATGGTGGCGAGTTTGCCTCTGGTTGCCTTGGTCGTTTCTGCCGTGCGGAGGGCATCGCCCAGACGTACACCCTGCCGGACTCCCCGCAGCAGAATGGAGTCGCTGAGCAACGCATCGGCTTGGACATGGAGGTGGCTCGTACCTCCATGATCCATGCCGGTGCACCCCATTTTCTGTGGCCGTTTGTCATTCGCTACGCCGCTCACCCGCTTAACCTGTGGCCGCACCCTCAGCCACCACAGGTTTCGCCAACCCTCCTCTGGACCGGATGTCCTGGTGACGCGTCTGCGCTCCACGTCTGGGGCTGCCTTGCTCACGATCGTGCCTTCGGCATGGACAATCTCATTGCCCGCACTGTCCCCTGTTTCTTCCAAGGTTTCCCCCTCGACTCGTCTGACTCGCACTTCTACCACCCGCCATCTCACTGCTTCTTTTACTCTCGCGATACTACCATTGACGAGTCTGTCTCCTTCTACCACCGCATTCCCCACCGTGGTCCCCCGGTTTCCCCCCCCCCCCCCCCGTTCCTGGTTCCCCCTCCCCCGATCGCCCCCGCTCCCCCCCCTTCTCGCCCTGCCTAGTCTGGTGTGTCTCACGTCTCTTCCCTTCTGTCGGTTGACCCTGCCAAGGGGTCTGCTGACTCTCGCGGCTCCACGGAGTCCCTTCCGCCGCCTGTCCCGTCCCAGTCCCTCCTCAGCCGCTATCGCCACCGCAGCCGCCGCCGCTTGGTTTCGTGCGTTCTGGGGGTGCGGGGGAGCATGCTAGAGAGGGTGCTGCTGTGGGTGCTGGTGTGGAGCTCCTCGGATGGAGCCGTGGTACAGCTGGAGGTTATGGTGCAGGCGCCAGGCAGTTGCCGCAGCAGCCGCCGCCGGTGTCCGCTCTTCGCCTCCTTGGTCTTCCTTCCCCCGACCGCCAGCCGGTGCCTCCTCCGTCGTCGCTGCCTCCTCCTCTGCCAGTCCACGGCCCTGTGTTTCCTCCACCGGATTCTTCTCCGACTCGTTTCCCTCCTCGTTCTCGCCCTGTTCCTCCTCCCCTCTCTTCTAACCCAGCTCCCTCGTCTCACGTCTGGGCTCGTCGTCCGTCGCGTGCCTGTCCTACCTCCTTTGTTCCGCATTCTCACCCTATGTTGCTGTGCTCCCACGCGTCTCGTGCTCATCTTCTCCTTCCGTCTCCTCTTCCGTCATCGCTCACTATGGCCCCACCTCCGTTCTCTAACTTCATCCGTGTCGTGTGTCCCCTTGTTCCTCGTGTCCTTGTTCCTCGTGTTCCCCTTGTTCCTCGTCCCCTGGTTACCGAACCTTCCGTTCCTGTCTCGAGTTTGTCGGTTCTTGTCGCTGCTGTCACTGACTTTGCCACTACCCACCGCCTTGACTACGCCACAGCTCTTGTCTCTGACCCTGCCTGTCCTCTGTCCATCGGGGGTGTGGCTGCCCTTGGCAGTGACGTCCTAGAGGACAGACAGTACGAGCTTGCTTTCCCGTCGGAGGTCGCTCCCCATTACTGTTCCATTCTGTTAATCCTTGCGGGTGACCCAGACGCACTTGATATCCCGACCCCTTCCACTTACACTGAGGTGACTTCGGGACCCTGGGCCTCTAAGTGGATAGCTACCATGGAGCAGGAGATGGCATCTTGGAGATCCACGGGTACTTTCATCGACGCCGTTCCCCCACCTGGGGTGAACATAGTCGATCGCCGATGGCTCGTCAAAGTGAAGCGCCCTCCTGGAGAGCCGCCTGTCTTCAAGGCGCTCTACGTTGCTCGTGGCTTCAGTCAGCATGAGGGTGTTAACTTCTTTCGGACCTTTGCCCCGACCCCGTAGATGAGGACTCTTTGGGTGCTGCTATACGTAGCAGCACAGTGTGACTATGAGCTGCACTCCCTCGACTTCTTTACAGCTTTCCTCCAGGGCAGTCTACACAAGCACGTCTACCTGCGCCGCCCCCCGGGCTTCTCCGGTACCTTCCCTCCTAGTACGGAATGGCTCCTCCAACGCCCTGTCTACGGCCTGCGTCAGGCGCCCCGTGAGTGGCACGACACGCTGCGTGCTACCCTTGCTGACCTGCAGTTCTTTCCATCATCTGCAAACCCATCGCTCTTCGTCCGTTCTGGCCAGACTCCGCTCGACATTCTCGTCTACGTAGACAACCTGGTCTTTGCTAGTGCAGACAGAGACGCCCTGGCCTCTGTAAAGGCCGAGCTGTTGAAGAGACACACCTGCACTGACCTAGGAGAGTTGCGTTGTTATCTTGGCTTGAAGACCTCTAGGGACAAAGCAGCAAGCACCATCACTCTCACACAGTCACACTTGGTGAGCCAGGTCCTTCAGAGGTTCGGCCTTCAGTTCCCTTCAGCACAGCCCACCCCACAACCTGTTGACCACACGCTCTCTGCTCCAGTTCCTGAGGAGTCTGTTGAGCCTAGTGGTCCTTACGCAGAGCTGGTGGGTTAGTTCATGTACCTGATGACTTGCACTCGTCCTGATCTCACATACCCTCTTAGCATCCTGGCTCCCTTTTTGGCCTCCGGAAAACACCGACCACAGCACTGGTCGGTCGCTAAGAGGGTTTTGCGTTATCTAGCAAGTACATCGGGCATAGGGCTGGTACTGGGAGGACAGGCCAGTGGTCAGTGGTCTTTACCAGGCACACAGACGCTTCTTGGGCAGACGACGCTGAGACACTCAGGTCGTTACAGGGCTACTGTTTTAGCCTTGGTTCGGGTGCCATCTCGTGGAGGTCCACCCGTTCCTCGTCTGTTGCCTAGTCTAGCTGTGAGGCTGAGATCTACGCTGGTGCCATGGCGGCACAGGAGCTCCGCTGGCTGACTTTCTTTCTCACAGACTTTGGTGAGCAGCCTTGCTCTACCCCGGTCCTGTATGCTGACAACAGGGCCATGATCCTCTTGTGTCAGGTGCCTAGATTTGAGGGCAAAGTGAAGCACATCCAGCTGCGGTACTTCCTCCTGCGCGAGCTACAGCAGCGTCGCCAGGCCCGCAGAGTACACTTGGCCTCCGGTGCCAACACAGCTGATATCTTTACGAAGGCGCTTGCACCTAAAGATCATCAGCGGCACTGTGTACAGCTTGGTCTCGTTCCTGTAGCACCTCACTTGCTAGGACCTTGATTGTGTACAACTCTTTATATATTTTCCTGATAGGCCTTGTGGCTTCTTCCCAGTGGTTGGACGAGTTTTGCCGCCCTGGTCTTGCTCTTGCCTTGTTTGTACTCTTCTGGCTGGTCTCTAGACCCTTGCCTGAGAGGCTGGACGAGTAGTGCCACCCTGAGCTGCTTGTCGCTCACCTGGCACTGCCCCCATCCAGTCTAGGGGGTGTGTTAAAACATATCTTTGTATGTTGTTATAGACTACATAGGGTCATGCCTTAGAGAGTACAGCCCACTAGGTTTTATTCGCTTGTATCCTACCATTCTAGTCATTCGTTCACTTTGATAGTTGTACCCTCTATAAATTGCACCTAGCTACAACATATACTGTATTCTTGCGGATATAGTAACCTAGGGGGCTAATAAAAAATCATGAAAGTTTTGGGACGGAAAAAATAGCAGAGGGGGGGCCCTCTTAATCCAACACTCTCCTGAAGAAACTAAGTCCCTTTTCGGGCGACGAGACACCTGATCGCAAGTGCACACAACTTTGTGCCAGACGAAATTGGAAAAATAAGACTTCCCTCCCATTGGTCGGATCTAAACATATGAGCGCTCTAGCGCGAGAATGTGCACGGAAAACAAGAGAGTGAAAAAGGTGTACCTAGGGGTGGCGGCGGAGGATGTACCAAGAGTCGATGCGAGGCATCTCAATGTGGCACCCGCACTCGCATATACCAGTGGCTCAATATCTCAAACACTATAGCCATCCTTAGTGGTGGCATGTTTTACTGTAAAGGAATGCAATATAACTTGTGGCAATTGTGCAGCAAACATCTCACATATGGAGAAAACCTTTATGGATCCTGCAGCATGCTGCATATGACTACTAGGCCCACAATAGGCTCCCCCCTCTTCGACTCCTGCAGATGGGAATAATCGGAGCATAGAGTGGGGAGGGAGAGTGAGAATAAGGGAGGGAGGGAGGGAGGGAGGGGTGATTGTGTGTGTAGGGGGAATAGGGGGGCTAGGGGGATAGGGGGGATACGGGAGGAATGGGTACAATATAGCAGGGGGGGGTGGGCAGCAAGGAGAGCCTATGGTCCAGAGCAAGCAAGGGGAGGAGGGAATCAGGGGGAAGAGGGAAGCAGGGGGAAGAGGAAAGCAGGGGGGAGAGGGTAGCAGGAGGAGGAGGGAAGCAGGGAGGGGAGGGAAGCAGGGGGGAAAGGGAAGCAGGGGGAAGAGGGAAGCAGGGGGAAGAGGGAAGCAGGGGGGAGAGGGAAGCAAGGGGAGGAGGGAAGCAGGGGGAAGAGGAAATCAGGAGGGAGAGGGAAGCAGGGGGGAGAGGGAAGCAGGGGGAGAAGGAAAGCAGGGGGAAGAGGGAAGCAGGGGGAAGAGGAAATCAGGGGGGAGAGGGAAGCAGGGGGGAGAGGGAATCAGGGGGAGGAGGGAAGCAGGGGGAAGAGGGAAGCAGGGGGAAGAGGGAAGCAGGGGGAAGAGGAAAGCAGGGGGGGAGGGAAGCAGGGGGAAAAGGGAAGCAGGGGGAAGAGAGAAGCAAGGGAAGGAGGAAATCAGGGGGGTGGGGGAAGCAGGGGGGAGAGGGAATCAGGGGGAGGAGGGAAGCAGGGGGAGGAGGGAAGCAAGAGGAAGAGGGAAGCAGGGGGGAGGGGGAAGCAGGGGGAGGAGGGAAACAGGGGGAAGAGGGAAGTAGGAGGAAGAGGGAAGTAGGGGGAAGAGGAAAGCAGGGGGGAGAGGGAAGCAGGGGCAGGAGGGAAGCAAGGGGAGGAGGGGAGCAGGGGGAAGAGGGAAGCAGGGGGAAGAGGGAAGCAGGGGGAAGAGGGAAGCAGGGGGGAGAGGGAAGCAGGGGGAGGAGGGAAGCAGTGGGAAGAGGGAAGCAGGGGGAAGAGGGAAGCAAGGGGAAAAGGGAGGCAGGGTGAAGAGGTAAGCAGGGCGAAGAGGAAATCAGGGGGAAGAGGGAAGCAGGGGGGAGATGGAATCAGGGGGAGGATGGAAGCAGGGGGAAGAGGGAAGCAGGGGGAAGAGGGAAGTAGGGGGAGGGGGGAAGCAGGGGGAGGAGGGAAGCAGGGGGAAAAGGGAAGCAGGGGGAAGAGGGAAGCAGGGGGAAGAGGAAATCAGGGGGGTGCGGGAAGTAGGGGGTAGAGGGAATCAGGGAGAAGAAGGAAGCATGGGGAGGAGGGAAGCAGTGAGAAGAGGGAAGCAGTGGGAAGAGGGAAGCAGGGGGAGGAGGGAAGCAGGGGAAAAAGGGAAGCAGGGGGAAGAGGGAAGCAGGGGGGAGAGGAAATCAGGGGGAGAGGGAAGCAGGGGGGAGAGGGAATAAGGAGGAGGAGGGAAGCAGGCGGAGGAGGGAAGCAGGGGGGAGAGGGAAGTAGTGGGAAGAGGGAAGCAGGGGGAAGAGGAAATCAGGGGGGAGAGGGATGACGAAGTGCTCGTTCATTCCTGCTCTCCCTCCTCTCCCCCTCCCTTGCTCGTTTACCTCCCTCCCTCTCCTTCTCTCACGCCTCTCTCCATCCCTGTTCTCCCTTCTCTCCCCCTCCCCTGCTCGTTTATCTCCCTCCCTCTACTTCTCTCACGCCTCTCTCCGTCCTTGCTCTCCCTCTTCTCCCCCTCCCGAGGTAGGCCTCGTTCTCTTCCTTGTTGCTTTGCCTCCACCCCTTCCTTGCCTTCACTACTCACGAAGCTTTCGAAAGCAGGAGCATGGAGAAAGCGGGAAGCGAAAAGTGAGGGAAAGCGGGAAGCGGGAAGCGAGGTCAGCAAGAAGCGAGAAGTGTGAAAAAGCGCGGGATGCGGGAAGCGTGAAAAATCACGGGAAGCGGGAAGCGGAATCGAGGGAAAGCGGGATGAGTGCTAAGTTTTCTGCTGTAACGGGAGCTTCTACGGGAAGTGCCTGGCACAGAGTATTGGACGTGCACCAATTCTGTAGTCCACTAAGGAGAAGTTTGGCTCCGGATTTTGTGTCTTCCAGTGTAGCTTGACAAAGCTTGCACACCCATAAAATTCACTAGAATCAAGATTGGATATGGTACAGCGGGGGCAAGATCTAATACTATCTCAATAAACCATGCAAGAACGTTCGCTGCCGAACGTTGTCAAAACACCGTGCAAGTGTAATCTGCCAAGTCAGCACCAGGCAGAAGAACGTTCTCTACCACCCCTTGGATGTACTCTGCCAACTCAGCATTGGCATGTGTAATCCCTAGGCAGCACTGGCTTGTGAAATGCCAAGTCAGCATTGGCAGGTGTTCATCAACCAAAACAGTTGTACCTGACAGTTCAAGGTCTTAACTGTCTCATGTTTTGCAGATGTCCCCAATTACAACCATGTGCACCAGGTTCATCTCGCAGATAGGTTCAGTTTCACCCAGGTTCAGGTTGGTTCCTCTTCTGCCGCAGAGAGAATTTGCGCCTTTCTATGAAGTCGCATCGTAACGAGGACCCTCGCCCTCTGCCGAGACTCTGTGGAGACTCGCGCACCCAAACTCTGCCGGACCTTGTGCGCCCAAACTCTGCTGAGCATCGCACGTTCATTCTCTGCCGAGAATCGTGCATCCGTACTCTCCCAAGCATGAGAACTTCATCTTCTGCTGCGTACACTACTTTCCGCATGTGTACTCTTCTGGCACTTCAGTGAATCTATTCTTAGCCGATGAGGCCTTTCGGCAGAGTGTTGCCTTGTTGCCAAATCTATCTGCCAACTGAATTTGTTGGCGTCAGCAGAGTGTGTGACCATGCCTCTTCTGCAGACTCTGTCGCCTCTTCCGTCGACAAACCTCTCTTCCAAAGCTGGCGTCGGCAGAGTACACGAACTCTACCATGTGCCAGTTTTGAAGACTCTGCAGCCTTCGCAGGATCAGGGCCGTTCTCAACACTCCCCTGCACCGGTCATACAAAATCACCAACAACCACAGAACCTATGTCTATGACACACGAAAGCAGAAAACAAATCACATGTCCCACCACGGTTCAGTCACTGGTCTCCCTATGTCGCTCCATGCCCTACCTACGTTAGTAGTGCCACTGTGCGCGTCCTGTGTCGAGGGCCCGCAGCGCTCCGCCCCTCACTCCTCCTCGTTTCCTCCTACCACAGCACCGCTACAGACACTGCACATGGACGTTTGGGGCCTTGCCTTGGTCCATGGTCTTGGTCGGGAGTGCTACTTTCTAGTCGTCATTGAGGACTTCTGGCACTGCACCACAGTGTTCCCGTTGGAGCGGAAGGCCGACGTGCCTGCCGTTCTCCTCCACTGGCTTCTCACTATTTGCACCCATCACCGCCTGCCTGTAGGTTGCTTACAATCTGACAGAGGCGGCAAGTTCGCATCTGGCACTGTAGGATGGTTCTGCCGTGCGGAGGGCATTCGCAAGACGTACACACTGTTGGAATCCCCAGAGCAGATGGGGTCGCTGAGCAACGCATTGGCCTTATCATGGAGGTGGTTCGCACCTCCATGGTCCACGCCGGTGCACCCCATTTTCTATGGCCGCTCACCGTGCGTTACGCTACTCACCAGCTTAACCTATGGCCGCGCACCCAGCGACCACATGTTTCGCTGACCCTCCTCTGGACCCAGTCTCCTGGTGACGCGTCTGCATTCCGCATCTGGGGCAGCCTTGCTGACGTCCGCGACACTCACACGAACAAGCTCTCATCCCGCACCCTTGTGTATTCTTGGGGTTTCCGCTTGATGCCTTTGACTGGGTGTTCTACCACCCGGCACACCACCGCTTTTACCACTCTTGTGACATTACAGTACCTTCGACGAGACGCTCACCAACTACCGGCGTTTCCCACACCGCAGTGCTCTTGTGCCTCCTCCTCCTCTCTTCCTTGTTCCTGCTCCTCCTGCCGCACCCCTCCTGCCCCCCGCGGCCCTGTGTGGTGTCTCCCATGCCACTCGGTTCCCCTCGGTTGCGCCTCTGGGGGAGTCGGCTAACTCTGGGGGCCCAGCTCCTGGGGGAACGCCTGCTGTCCTTGTGGTGCCTCCAACAGCCTCGGTACCATAGTCACCTCAGCCGCCTCCCCTCTTCCCTCAGTAGCAGCAGCAGCCGCCACAGCAGACTCATCGGCTGCAGCAGCAGCAGGGAGCAGTGGGCTTTGGGGGTGCTGGTTCTGGGGGTGCTGGTGTTGGGGGTGTTGGGTCTGGGGGTGTGAGTTCTTGGGGTGCTGACTCCGAGGGTGCTGGTTCTGTGGGTGGTGTGTCCGAGGGTGCTAGTCTTTGGGGTGTTGTTTCGGAGCGTGCCGGTGGCAGCCGCAGTGCCGCTAGAGGTCCTAGAGAGGACAGGGAGCAATTGGAGTCGCAGCAGCAACCACAGCAGCAAGTGCAACCACCGAAGCAGGAGCAACCGCTAACGTCCCTTCGTCTCCTTGGTCTTTGTCCACCTGCCCATCTCCCTCCGGTGCATAACCCTCTTTACGGACCGTTGTTCCCTCCTCCGGACTCCTCTTCGGCTCGTTTTCCCCCGCGCTCTCCACCGTCCACTGACTTGTCCCCCGTTCCCCCTCGTCCCCAGTCCCCAGTTTTTCCCCACTGGGACCGTCGCCCTTTGGTGCTCATCCTGTCCCTCTCCATCCTCGTGTCCAGCCTATGGTTCTTCGTTCGCGTGCTCCTCCAGTCAAAGTCCTCTCGTTGCCTCCCCCGTCGTCGCCCCTGTCGCCCCTCCTCCTCGCTCCAACGCTGCTCTCGCTGCTCATCTTACCCTCTCGTGCTTGCTTGCGTCACTTGTCACTGACCCTACTGCTCCTCCTTAGTCTGTCTCTATGCTTGTCGCTGCTGTCACTGACTTTGCTGCTAGCCACCACCTTGGATACGATGCCGCTCTGGTCTCTGGTTCTTCCCGTCCTCCGTCCTTCAGGGGTGCACTTGCCCTTGGCAGTGACGTGCTATAGGTTAGGCAGCATGAGTTGGCCTACCTTTGTCGCCGCTGTTCCCCATCTCTTCTCCATGTCTGAATCCCTAGAGGGCGACCCAGATGCTCTCGACATCCCTGCTCCGCGCTCTTACGCTGAGGCAGTGTTGGGGCCCTGAGATACAGGCCATGGAGGCTGAGATGGCATCCTACAAATCCACATCCACATACGTCGCATTTCCCTAGACTCGGGCGAACGTAGTCGATGGCATGTGGATCTACAGAGTGAAGCACACACCTGGAGAGCTGCCGAAGTTCAAAGCGTGTTATGTGGCTAGAGGCTTCATCCAGCGTGGCAGTGTGGACTTCTTCCAGACCTTCTCCCCGACCCCGAAGATGACTACACTTCGGGTCCTTGTCCGCATATCCATGCAGCGTGACTACGAGCTTCACTTACTCAACTTCTCCACAACGTTCCTACAGAGTAGTCTGCATGAGCAGATCTACCTGTAGCACCTTCTTGGCTTCTCTAGGTCCTTCCAACCTGGGAGCCTGCGCCGTCCTATCTACGGCCTTTGTCAGGCACCTTGTGAGTGGCACGAGACGCTTCGCACCACTCTTGCTGAGCTACAGTTGTTTCCGTCCTCTGTTGACCCCTCTCTCTTTGTTCGCACGGGTCAGACACCGTTCTACATTCTAGTGTACGTAGACGATCTTATCTTTGGTACTCCTGAAAGAGTCGCACTGGCCTTAGTGAAGGCCCAATTACTTAGGAGACACACCTCTACAGACTTGGGGGAGCTGAGGCACTATCTGCACTTGGAGACCTCTCGTGACTGTGCCGCTCTCACGATAACACTCTCCCAATCCCATATGGTGCAACACATCCTCTAGAGGTCCACTCTCCAGTTCTCCTCTACACAACCAACCCCTCTGCTTGTGGATCACAAGCTCTCTGCTCCTGTTCTGACTGAGCCGGTCGAACCTAGTGGTCCATACGCAGAGCTGGTGGGGTTCCTCATGTACCTAATGACCTGCACTCGACCAGATCTAGCATACCTTCTCAGTCTCCTTACTCGCTTTGTCGCGACAGGCAGGCACCGACCAGTTCACTGGTCGGCTGCCAAGAGGGTACAGCGGTATCTGGCGAGTACATTAGGACTGGGGCTTGTGCTAGGAGGACGGGAGCCAGTGGTGCTCAGTGGACACACAGACGTGTCGTGGGCTGACGACGTGGAGACGCTCAGGTCGTCTCAAGGCTACTGCTTTAGTCTTGGTGCTGGTGAAGTCTTGTGGAGGTCCACCAGGTCGTCGTCTGTAGGTAAGTCCAGTTGTGAGGCAGAGATCTACATTGGGGCCATGGTTGCTCAGGAGCTCTGCTGACTGACGTTCTTGCTCACACACTTAGGTGAGCAGCCTAGGTCTGCCCTAGTCCTGTTTGCTTTGAACAGTGCCATGATCCTCCTGTGTCAGGAGGCTCGACTTGAGGGCATGGCGAAGCACATCTAGCGGCGGTACTTCGTGCTGCGTGAGTTGCAGCAGTGCGGCCAGGCTCGTGTGGTACAGTTGGCTTCAGAAACCAATACCGCTGACATCTTCACTAAGGCACTTGCGCATCGTGACCATCAGCGGTTCTGTACTCAGCTTGGTCTAGTCTCCATAGCAGAACCACTCCTTATATCCTAAGTCATACTATACTTGCTTGTACTTGTTCTATACTTGCATGCCTTGCTACACTTGCTCAATGGCCTTGTGGCCTCTTGTCTCCGTGATCAGACAAGTAGTGCTGCCCTGAGTTGCCTTGTTGCGTTCACCAGATGTCAGACCAATAGTGCTGTCCTGGTGTACTCTGCCTTGTTATGAACAACCACTATGTAGGCTAGGGTGTGTGTCAACAAATATATTTATATAGATTTGCTAGGTCATATTTGTTTATAGCCTAGCTAGTTTATTTCTTAGCGAGTTCAGCCTTAGTTTTGTTTCCCTCGACTTTTTCCCTTAGTCACACTTTTCCTGCTACTCTAACACATGCAACTCGTGTGACTTTTCTGGCAGTGCCTACAGCCACGTGCCATCAAGGCCGGCTGTGCAATTCTGTCGCAATTTTGTAAGACTATGCCAAGGCTCCTCAAACACACGGCGTTCTGTTACGTGACGCCAGATCAGAACAAATATCCACATGATCTATTCTGGCAGAAATTCCTAGGTCTGTACCAGGGCCTACTTTTGGATTTTTACTACTCTGAAATTAGGGAGTGGCTTTTTTCATCACTCTGAAAATCAGAGTGCTCCCCAATGGTTTCTCTGATTTTCCAGGGTTTTTTTATATTTCTCAAAAATTTACACTGACAATGCAGAGGGGTTTTTGAAGTAACTCTCCGCAGCAGGGTTCTCTAGGTGTGCGGGGCAAGATTGGGAGATGGGGGGTGGAACAAAGGGGAAGTATCGAGAGATTGTATGGGCAGGGGGAATCGAGATTGCAGGGGCAGGGGGAATCGAGCTGGCAGGAGAGGTCGACACAGCAGGGGCGGGGACGGGAAATCTTGCACTCCCCCTGCAAGCACACGTTGGCCCCAAATACGGTGAAGGGCCCAACCAACACGACCTCACACAGCCAACAGCGCATCTCGCCTGACCCCTAGGAAGGGCCAATCAGCACCCTCATGCACCTTCCAGCACAATTGGCGAGGTGATTTTGGTCAAGGGAAACTTACCGTAGCACCCTCACACAACCTCGAGCACGGACCAGACAATGATTTCGCCGGTGCGTGTGACATGACGCGTTCTGCGGGACACATGGGCACAGCTAGGTATAGGGGACAGGAACATAATCACATATATACGGTACCCCCTATACACGGACCATCAGAGTGGTACAAAGGTTTACTCGGATAAAATCAGAGTAAAACAAATAATTTATTTTTTTACTCAGGGCCCCTAGAGTAGTTTTCAAAAACGACTCTGATTTTCAGAGAAACAGAGTAAATTACTCTGATAAAATAGGCCCTGGTCTGTACCCTGTCTTGAATCTGAGTACCAGCTGAAGTGTATCTTGTAAATAAAAGGTCCACTGCATATGAACGAACTCGCTAGTAAAAGACGTGTCGTCTGATCTTTAACACTCTCTACTATCGGGGTGACTAGAGGTATGAATAGAACACCAAGGTGATGAACACAACAGCATGCATTCCACACAAATGCAGGTAAAACCCCCGAAGCCAAACTGAAGGAATCTGCCCAACTCATTTGCCTAAACCTATCAACCCACACCCATATCAACCGAACTTGACATGAGGAAATACGAGTAGTTTTCTTCACAGGCCACAGGCAAGGAGCGTGAGAGCAGCAGCAATGGCTGCAGTGAGGCTGACGGCAGCAGCAGAGGGCATGGAAAGGCCAGATGCAGGCTTGGGAGGAGAGGAGGCAGGAGTCTGGGAGGGGGCAGATGGTGCCTGAGGCACTGATGGTGCAGTTGATGCTGGTGCTGCAGTTGATTCTGGTGCTGCAGTTGATGCTGGTGCTGCAGTTGATGCTGGTGCTGCAGTTGATGCTGGTGCTGCAGTTGATGCTGGTGCTGCAGTTGATGCTGGTGCTGCAGTTGATGCTGGTGCTGCAATTGATGCTGGTGCTGCAGTTGATGCTGGTGCTGCAGTTGATGCTGGTGCTGCAGTTGATGCGGGTGCTGTTGTCGGTGCTGCCACTGGAGTATGGGGCCAGGGGTCAGGGGGTAAAGCATGAGACATCATTATTATGAGAATAAGAGTAGAGACTGAAGCCCCGTTGAGTTTACCATTTGCAAGAAATGGAAACACTCCCAGCACTGATGCGAATAAGGCCCAATTCATGAAGGTAAGCATGCGGACAACCATCCCCATGCCTGCATGTATTGCTACATGCAGTCGCCAACACACAGCAAGGTGCCAGACACCTACGCCTGAGGGGCGTGCAGGAGGAGCAGAAGGAGAAGCAGAGGCTGCAGAAGCTGGTGGCATTGCTCTGCTGCACCACACACTTGCTGCCGTCTGCAGGGCAGGTCAGCCCTGAGCCAGAGATGTTCCTGGGAGCGTTTGGGTTGGGGGGCAAAGGGAAGCGAGGTTTGGGTTTGGGCAGTGGGCTGAGTCACAGGCTGCATGTTCTTGGTATTGCGTTGAAGGTTTGAGTTTATGCATCGGAGACGGGTGTTGTCTGTGTAAGCAGCATTGAAGAGGCGTGGGGAGGAAACAAGAAGAGGGTGAGAGGAGAAGAGGGGAGAGGAGAGGAGTGGAGATGTGGGCAGAGGAGACAAGAGGAGAGGAAAGGAGACGAGAGAAGAAGAGAGGTGAAAGGAGGAGACGAGATGAGACAAAAAGAGAGGAGATGAGAGTAGAGGAGAGGAAAGGAGAGGATAGGAGAGGAGAGGATAGGAGAGGATAGGAGAGGATAGGGGAGGAGAGGATAGGAGAGGAGAGGATAGGAGAGGATAGGTGAGGGATCAAGATGAACAAGAGGAGATGCGATGAAGGAGAGGAGAGGAGGCGAGAGAAAGTACAGTGATGATGATACGTGCTGGCAGTGTAAGCACGAGGCACCATGCAGGCACGAGGCATCATGCAGGCAGGAGGCATGGCACGAGGCACTGTTCCGAGCATGTGGGAGGGAGCAGACCATGGGCGCGTGTGTGGCATGGGTGCAGGTGCATGGGTGCAAGGGTACTCACAGGGATGTGAGGTTGGCAAGACTCCCCATAATAGCAGGTATGGAGCCACTCAACTTGTTGCCTCCAAGGCCCCTGAGATTCCATGCCATGCCAACCCATGCCAAGCAATGCCATCCAAATTATGCCATGTCACACCGTACCATACCAATCCATGCCGTCCATGCCAGTTAACTCCACGCATTGATACGCATACAGGCAGCTCAACAATGGCTACAAAGTGTAGAAAAATAGCAGATATATTTGGAGTGATAGCCCTCCCTCCCTGAGTCCCGTCTACCTCACATGACCTGCTCTGCTGCATGCCTAGGCAGGGCTGTTCATGGCCAGGCATGGCTGGGCGTGACTTACAGGAGTTGCAGAGAGGGCAGCTGGGCAATGGAGGCAGGGAGGGAGCCGGTGAGCTGGTTGCTGCTAAGGTCACTGGTGAGAGAGCAAGGGATGGAAAGGTTCGATGGGGTTGAGAGAGGGGAAATGTGGGGAGATAAAGGGTGTTTGGCAGTGTGTATGCTGTCATGGTGTTCTGGCCGGTAGTGTTCCATCATTACTGCAGAGAAATCAATGTCAGCGGCGATTGAAACTCCTTCAGCATCATATCACCATGAATACAGGCGGGCTTACAAGTTCAGGCACGCACACAGGTGAAGGTAGGCATACAGGCGAAGGAGTTCAGAGGATACGAGACGTGTGGGAAGAGTTCCCTGGAGCTGGTTGTAGGCCAAGGATCTGAGGCCAGGGATGGCGATGGGCGAAGGTGGAGGGATGGAGGGCGCAAATGGAAGGGGATGAAAAGAAAGAGGAAGAAGACGGCTGGGGGGGATAGTGGTGGAAAGAGGTGAATTGGACCAGAGGGACATAGAAAAAAAATCCAGAAAAACCTAGCAGGATGGTTAAGCAGATGTTGTTGCTTCACTGTCTAAATTCAACCACCAACCACGCAATCCCCCTCTCACCGGTTCTGCCGGTCATGCCACCAGTGATGAGACAAACCCCCTTTGCCCATCCCTGAAAACCTCCTGGTCTCCAATCCCATTCCCTCCCACCCCCACTGCCACCTGCTATTTATTGCAATAACTTACCTGGTGTGATGGCGCGGACAGTTTGGGAGTGAAAACGAAGGAGGGTGAGAGCAAGGGAGCAAAGGATAGAGCGAGGACATGAGGAAAAGAATGGGACAAAGCGAATAAGGGATAAGGGGGAAATGCCGGTTGGGATAGTAAACACGATGAGTGCTGGTTGGGAGTAGACCGAACACAGCCTTACAGTCCAGGCGACAAAGCACCCACAAGGTTTGGAGCAAGGAGAGGCTGAAGATGCCAGAAGGGACAACTCCAGTGAAGCCATTGTGGGACACGTTGCTGATGGGAGCACAGTCCATGGGTTGGGGAGTTCAGAATACGATCAGCACTATTTCAGTGAATAAAAAAATATGCAGATTCGTGAAGCTACACAACCAGGAATAGCTTCGTGTTACATGTAGCACCGTACAGTAGCCTTCGAGATGATACTTGGAAAGCAGTGGTCAGTTCGCTTGGTGGTAAACCATTGGTTCAAACACGCCCTTCTTGAAAGAAATATCCACGAATCATACCCTGTCTGGTCTACTTCCACTTCGTTTCAAGACCCCCGCTTACAGTTTTAAGGTGCAGGGTCCCGTTGATATAGATTGGGCTGCTGGTATTGCAAAGACAGAAAAGCAACCTACTTTTACTCTAGTCAGAGCTATCAGCAGGTCGTGTCAGAAGGTTTCAGAGGTAATGGCTGGCTTGCATGTTCTAGCACAGTCAGCTGCACAACCTAGTAAAGAATCCAGAGTAAACAGATACTGACTGCACGATACATGGGCAGACAGGCATTCTGAAGTTTTCATACTTCGGAGGGAGAAGTAGGGAGTGAGGGGAGGGTTTTTCCGAAGGGCACATGGAAGGAAACAAAGTGGAGTGAGAGGCAGCAGATGAAAAGTGGTGTGTATTGAGTGGAGTTAAAACTCACAGGGCAGCCATCTCGCTCAGCAATGCGATCTGTGGTGGAATTGGCCCTGTGAACTTGTTGGCTGACAGATCACTGCAGGGATGCATGGGAGGGTAGTGGGAAAATCTTAAACAGAGAAGGCTTGCAGGCTCTGAAATGGTAGTCTCAGGCAGAGAAAGGAGGCTTGGATGTGTTGGAAAGGTCCTTTCTTGCTGACACACATATGTTAGAAGCTGTTAGTCCACAGGTTTGAAAAGTGACTTCTCGGTATGGATGGAGGGACATGAGCATTACAGAATCAGAAGGCTTGTCATCTGTAGGACAAGGGAGGGGAAATCTCCGGTAAAGCTGTTGTTAGACATGTCACTGCGGGGAGGAGAAAGGGAATGAAGGGCAGGAGAAGAGACAGAACGGGAGAGGTTGAGAAGAGAGGAGGATAAAAGAAGGTAGGAAGGGAGGATGGGAGAGAGTGACACTTTTAAAGTGCTTAGGAGAAAGCATCTGCGTATGTAACCTAACATGCCGGACTGGCGTTGCTGGGATTGCACAAAACGTGTCTCAACAACTATTGCAAAGGACCAACTCAGTCGTCCTTCAACCTGAAGTGGTTGGTTGGATTCTAGTCTACAGCTGGAAGATGGGAATAGTGCAACACATTTCATGGCTCGTGGCTGTCTACTTCCACATCAACAACGCATTGAGCCTGGTGGCTCCAAGCACAGGTAATCATCCTGGTTCTCAACCAGTGACGGCTCACTCACCGGCACACGAGCAACTTACAGAAGCAATAGCAGTGTGAGGCTTGAGAATGAGGCTGGGAAGGGGCCTGAGAGGCCGCATGAGCCAAGATCACTGCAACTCAGGAGGAATGAGAGAGAGGAGAAGAGCAAGGGAGGAGGGGGTGAGTCCCTTATGGATGAAGTGTGGATGGAAGCCAGGGAACGAGGAGATGAGAAGGCTCAAGGACTCCACACAAGAACGAATGGACGAATCAACTTGCCTGGAGGATCTTTCTAACCCCCGCATGTGACATAAGGACGTCACTGCCCAAAAGAAACTGTTTTATAGTCGAACAAGCTTATCCATGTCGGGAAGGACTCTTAAGCATGTTGACCAGTAACCTTTTACACAGGTTGACCAATGAGCCCTTAACCTCGAGGAGACGCTTTTAAGCATGCGTGGCACCCCAAGGAGGCACACCCAGGAGGCTGACCCAATGAAAGGGGAGGACGAGACATTAGTGTGTCGCGTGCTACGCCTAGGCTGTCTCATGCACGAAGACATACATCGTAAACAGCAGATGTGCCATTACGCCAGTATGCTCACACGGTGTACAGCCACGGCATACGAGAGAGCACATCCAAGCCTCCAGAAAGAGGGTTGTGACTGAGCATTCTGTTGCCATGGCAGAAAAATGGGTGGTGGTCGTGAGGTGAGGCTGTGAGAGACGATGATTGACAGGCACAATAGCATCGGTGATAGAGATGGCATGCAAAATAACAATGTATCCGTGCATTGAATTGTAAAAGCAATGTCATACCCATTCGCGTATCACAGGCACACATGGTAACGAGACAGCTGGGTGACGCACTAATAGCAATTCAGTCTCATTTCTTGAGAATGATTGAGGCGTGAGTTGAATGCAGAGGATGTGGGTTGAATGTGGGGGGTGTGTGTTGAATGTGGGGGGTGTGGGTTGCACCCAACTCACACTTCGATGAGGGCAGTCAGCTGTGTGAAGGACGCTGGGATGGGCCCTGAGAGCCTGTTGTGGCTCAGGTCTCTGCGAAGAAAGAATGGTAAGGCATGGAGAGGAGAGAAAAGGGAGTGAAAGAGAGAGGCGCCCACTCGACCCTTTTGACCCTTAATCTAAAAAGCACAGAGGCTGCTGCACATCCCTCACACACCTGCCCTCTTTACCGTGCCACCACCACACCAATTCTGGCTCGGCAACTCACATGAGAGACAGGTCCACCGCTCCGAGAAAGTTTGGGATGGAGCCCTCCAGGTCGTTGTGGTGCAGCAGGCTGAAGGGGTGAATCGCGTCAATGGTGAAACGCTGAGGGGTGGACCAGCTGTGCGCATGGCATAACATGTCATGTGCTGTGCCACACCCGACAGAAAGGGCAGAGCGACTGCGCCAAGTGGCAGTCATCCCTGATGGAACGTACCGATGCTGCCTGGTACTTTTCCTCCATGCTGTGATAGCTGACTGTGATGTCAACCATCCAAAGCGAACACTTATCAATTACCAGACAGCAAGGACCAGACAGCATTTGCAATCAATCTGAACAACAATTAAGTGCATGAAGTGGAGAAGGCACTAAGCGTGCCCAATTCCTCTTCTCCAACCCCTCCCCCCCCTGGCTCACATAGTGTTAACCAATGAGGGCAGGGCAGCAGGAATTGATCCACTAAGTCGGTTGTAAGAGATATCCCTGGAGAAGGGCAGAAACTGAAGTGAGAGACGGAACTAGAGGCGGGGGAAGATTCAAGAGAAATAAGAAGAGGGAAAGGAAAGGTGGCCAGCAGACGTTAGAGGGTGGCAGACATGGAGAAGACATTGTCGCACAGCAGTCTCGTGGCCAGACTACTGAGGAGCCAGGGAGCCCCATGTCAAGTGATAGTGATCTACATTCTTAGTTGTTTCACTGCACCCAGCTGTCTGCTCTGCTGTGTTCACATTTACATGCATACGCTTTGACATTGATGCCTTCTTCACTTTGAAATATTGAAAAACACGAAGCCGACAATTCGAGTGAAGTGCCAGCTCAATCTGATGTGCAGGACGCAGCCTGGCAAACGCAATTGAACCATTTCAGCCATATGCACTTCAACAGCACCCACACCACACCTACACGTTTGGTGGATAGGTACGGATATGAGGGGGGGAGGAGGGGGGGCGGGGTGGGGCGAATTTGAAGTTAGGCGTACAGTCTGGTAAGGTTGGTGAGGACAGATATGGTGCTGGGAAGCGAGCCAGAGAAGCCATTGCCGCTTGCAAGCCTGGGAGAGAGGAAAATAGGAAAGCGGGTTACTATGGTCTTGCAATAAGCGGAACTGGCAGGGTCATCATGCCATGCAAAGAGTACCACGAAACACGTTATTGCACTGTGTCCTCAGTTCCAGTCCTCAAGCTTGCGTTCTGTCACTCCATGTCAACATTGCACACATCACTGTTGCTAAGCGAATGAGAGGCAGACATGGCTCACAGTGCATCCAGCCTTGTGAGCGCCATTAACCCCGAGGGGAACAGTGAAGAGCGGTTGGATCCGGCGGGTGCAGTCACATCCCTGGCAATGTGGAGGTGAGACATTCGGGAAAAAGAAACAGTTCAGCTGGGCAATGGTTGCAGCTGAGCTGTGGTTCACTGATGCATGGTTTTACATAAAGTCTGGCCAGAACAGAAGTATGGGTAGAGCCGAAGCATTGCTCAGGCGATAATTAATGGGATTTTCGGTCTTGACTGGGGCCCAGGAGCTGGGTCGCGTACAAGTGGTGGAGGTTGGTGAGAGTTGCAATCCATGATGGCTGGTTGGTGTAGTTAAGGTAGCCCATGTCACTGCATGATACGAGGTGGAGAGAGAGGTGGGGGGAAGAGGGGGGGTTTAGACAGACAGGAAAATACATGGTTGGCAACACGCTTCACAACAAGCTTCTCGATGGCTTAGCTTGCAACCAACATCGGCATGGCAGTCGTCTCCCTTGACCAGGTGGGCGAAGCAGCACAGAAGGAAGGCGCACACACCCACCCCAATTACGCATGGGGGCAGCACTCCTCTCCTCAGGTACAGATGGCATAACCCTTCATGGCCCACACCACACTGAATCCAGGCTTACAGATGTGTGAGCGAAGTGAGAGTGGAGAGAGAGGGAGGGAGTTCCCCAGCAGTCAGGTTGAGATCTGCCAGCGATCTGGTGGCAGACATATGGGAGGAACAAGCATCAGGGAAAGCGAAGAAGAGCAGGGTCATACCATAAAAGCGAAGGATTACGTGCCCAGAAAGTTGGTTGATTGGCAACCAACCCTGAGTACCAATGTGGACTAGCTGGCCAGCACATCTATCACTATCAGTGCTGGTGGATGAGCCACCTTGACCTGATGTGATGTAAGGTGAGCCAACTCAATCCCGAAATATTGCGTTGACCCTGCTTAAGATGATGACCCAATAAACACCATCACGCACAACACTAGAGCAAGCAGAATAGGTACAGGGGGGGCTTGCAGCATGGCATACAGGTGTTGGAGTCGAGAGAGCGAGGAGAGACATGTGAGGTCGTCCATTGGCCCAACGAGCTTGAGATATGCAAGAGAGCTGCAACCAGGGAAGATGTGGAGGGGGGGAGGGGGGGGGAGGGAGGGGGGGGGAGGGGGGGGAGAGGGAGGGGCCATATCAAGTCGACCACTATAACCAGTTTTTAGACCGTTTCAGAGTGGCTGAATTCTTTTCATCACTCAAAGCGCAAGCGTCGACAATTTCGCGCTTCCGACAGAGTCACAATCAGTGTAGGTGTTTACTACGAGAGGAATCGATTTTTCTTGCAAGGAGGTTCCATTCCATAACCCTGTTCTACTCCTTGTGTCATTCGTACTGAACGTACAGCTCATGACGAGCCGAGCAACTGCCCGGTATGTGGGCTCGTCTCGACTCTCAAGCCGGCTGGCTCACAGCCTCCCTTGGCTCGCCCGCCAGGGTTTCGCCCAACAGATTCGCAGAACTGGGCATTTCGCCTGCCACATCCGCGCTGGCGGGTACTTTGCCCGCCAGTACGAGAACGAGGGAGGTAGAGCTACGGGGGTAGGAGGTACAGGAAGGAGAGTGCAGAGAGGCGACTGTAAGTGGATGGGAGGTTTCCTCTGAGATTGTTGAGACCAAGGTTACTGGAATGAGTGCAGGCACAGAGAAAGATGTGCACATGCACATAAGAGACTCAAAGGCACACGCAGCATGCAATAGCGAACAGAAATACACAACACATCCAGGCACACACAAGCTCATGCACGCACACGCAGAATTGCACAGGAGACAGCCGACAGGCACAGACAGGCACAGGAGCGCATGGCAATATGCAGACAGCCGTTGATCGCCAGTTCAATCAGTAATTTGAAGATAACCGTAGTACCCTTCAGTCTTTTCCCCACTTCCCTTTTTCCCAAACCCTCCTCCCCTCCCTTCCGCTCTCCCCCTTCCCTCCCTCCCCAGTTGAGTTTAAGCTTGAGCTGCAGCGCGTCATTCCAAAGCAAGCAGGCTCTACTGGTGCTCTCACAGGTGCACGAGGCGGGTGGCATCACCCAGGAAGGCAGGGACCTCGCCAGCGAGCCCGGTGCCGCTCACGTCACTGCCATGTGCGGTGGTGGGTCAGGAAGGGAGAGTGGGTATCAGGTTGGAAAGTGACGAGCAGATCATGGGTGAGGTAGACATGGGAGAACATGGGAAATGTGTTACAGCAAGAGCATGGGAGATTGCACTATAATAATGCAAGGGGGTGGTAGCAGAAGGGAGTGAGGGAGGCACAAGTGGGAGAGTGTGAGACATAAGCTAGGAGAGTGAGGGAGGTACAGGTAGGAGAGTGCAGTGAGGCGACTGAAGGTAGATGGAAGGACTCCACTCAGGCTGTTGACATCCGCCAGGTCGCTGGGATGGGTGCAGGCACGGACGAGCATGTGCACACACTCATGGGAGGAAAACAACCACAAGAGGACAACGGTTACATGGTTGAAATCTGAGACGCTCACGCTACAAGTGAGATATCAGGCAAGCGATAAGGGGGGTTGAAACAAGCGTCTAGGGTCGCTGCATCAATCAAGAGCTGAGATTGCTGTTCGACCATCCTTCCTGGTGTCTCGATTTGAACGTGTCAATCAAGGAGACACAAAGGGCGGTTGGAGAGGAAAAGGACCAGAGTGCCAGAGGGGTATTCAATACGAATTGGGAAGCTCGACCAAGTGGGAAGTATGTGAGTCAACTATTTCACCAGCACCATATCGAGGATCCGATTGCACATTTTACACATGAGATTTGCTATTGAATGGCATCGCCTCACCAGAACCTCTTATGGCGTTCTCACAGGTGTGCGAGGTTGGTGGCGTTGCCAATGGAAGCAGGGATCTCGCCTCTGAGCTGAGTGATGCTTGCATCACTGCCATGTGCAGTGGTGGTGGGACGGGGGTTGGGGGGTGGGGTTGGGGGGGAGGTCGAATAAAGCTTAGACAAGGAATGTATAATCGGGTTCACAATAACTTCCGGTTTCACAAGAAATTTGAAATGCAAGGGGCCATACACATATTGCAAGGCTGGCAAGAATCCAAGAAACTCCACACTGCCGTTGAGACGGTTGTAGGACAAGTTGCTGCAGGAGGGAGGGGTCAAAGGCATGGCGGGCGATAAGGAAAGCCGTTAGCCGCATGGCAGGGTCAACCAGTTATCCAGGAAGGCAATGCAGTTAGGGAAGTTCTCTGATTAAGCAGAGCATGTGACAGGGACAAGCGTTCTGGGTTTTGCATGGCTAACAGGGGATGGCATGGGTGAGAATGCACGAAATGGGTAAGAGCACATGAAATGGGTGAGAGCGCATGGCGTGGTTGAGAGAGCGCATGGCGTGGTTGAGAGAGGGCATGGCTGACAGTTCTCGCAGGGAGGTGAGATTCTTCAACGCATCCATGGGGATGGGGCCAACCAGGTTGTTGCTCTCCAAATCTCTGGCAGTGCCAGGCACGGGAGCAGCGTGGAGGAAGGGCGAAGAGGAGGACAAGTGGAGAAAGAAGGGCACAGCGGGAAAGAAGGGCACAGCGGGAGAGAAGGGCACAGCGGAAAAGAAGGGCACAGCGGAAAAGAAGGGCACAGCGGGAAAGTGCAAACAAGGAGGCGAAATGATAAGGGTGGAGATGTAGGGAAGGTGGTAAGGACGAATCTTTCTATTTCCAGGCTGTTATTTTGTGGCTGACGTTGAGACGTTGAGACGAGTCAAGAGTGAAGGAGAGCGCGGTAGTGGCTGTAGGAGAGCGCGGTAGGAGTCACTATTTTGTGGCTGACGAATCTCAAAGAAACATCGAGACGTGCCTGACGTTCTTATTCCGTGGCTTGTTTGTGCGCGTGTTCACCTAGGTCTCCCTGTGTTGCGTCTTCACTCTGACCGTGGTGGCGAGTTCGCATCTGGTTCTTTTGGTCGTTTCTGTCGTGCGGAGGGCATCACCTAGACGTACACACTACCAGACTCGCTGCAACAGAATGGGGTCGCTGAGCGATGCATCGGTTTAGTCATGGAGGTGGCTCGTACCTCTATGATCCATGCCGGTGCACCCCATTTTCAGTTGCCGTTTGCCGTCCGTTACGCTGCTCACCAGCTTAACCTATGGCCGCACCCTCAGCGGCCGTAGGTTTCGCCGACCCTCCTCTGGACCGGGTCACCTGGTGACGCGTCTGCGTTCCACGTTTGGGGCTGCCTGGCTCACGTTCGTGCCTCTGGCACGGACAAGCTCACCGCCCGCACCGTCCCCTATGTCTTCTTAGGTTTCCCCCTTGACTCGTCTTATTGGCACTTCTACCACCCGCCGTCTCACCACTTTTTTCACTCCTGCGACGTCACCTTTGACGAGTCCATCTCCTTTCAACGTGAAACAGTCAACGGAAAATTACATGAAGGAGTGGCGAGTTAGGGGGAGGGAAGTCAGTGTAGGCAGTGGCAGTGGGGTAGGCAGGCTGGAAAGGAACGAGCAGCGGGATGTGGGCGCACGCGACTTGGAGGCTCACAAGACTTGGAGGGCAGTGAAAGCGCCTATGGCTTGAGGAAGGCCCCCCATTATGGTGAACATGACATCTGCAGGAAGGTCTCTGCAAGGAAAGGTTGGGGAACACAGGGTGGAGAGGGAGGAAAGAGAGCACGAGTTTGGTTGGAGACGTGGCAAGACGGGGATGCACAGGGATGCACATGGCAGGCACATGGCGCTTCATTCATCATGTCAGCCCAGATGCATGGCCTTTCGACCTTGCCACTCTCACAGCTCTCCCCACAAATGCCTCTCCTCATCCCACCCACGCCACCCATTCCTGACCGCCTGCGTGCTCCCCACAAACCGCACCACACAAACCCCTCCCCCCACGTCCCCTGTTCCCCTCTCCTGCCCCTGCCCCTGCCCCATCCCCATCGCACAACCACACACGCATCATCCATTCCCAGCACGAGGCTCACAGGCGGGTGACCATGCCCTGGCGGTTGCATGTGACGCCCCACCAGTCGCCGCACAGCACTGCCGAGGCGTCCAGCTGCCACCCCTCCCACTCCCGGTCCAGCTCCAGCAGCGCGCTCACTGGGAGGCATTTGAGACATAGAAAAAAGGGAAGAACGGATGGTGAGGAAATGGATGAGACAGAAAGAGAAGGGAGAAGAGGAGAAAAGAGGGAGGAGATGTACAAGGGGAAGGGGTGTGGGGAGAGGGGAGGAGGAAGGACGAGAAGGGAGCATAAAAATATAGGTGCTAAAGAATTGAACCGATTTTGGCCCAATTTTACTTCACGTCCCAAAATACCAGGACCAGAAATACAGAGTAGCTATACACTAGGTACGGCATAGGTATGTCTGCTACTGAGTAGCCTTGCTATACGAACAACTATACCTACAATAGAGGTGAGATCCACATTTTGTGACGCAGTGTCGGAATAGCAAAACTGAGACAATCTTCCAGCCTCATTTGACAAGAGCTCAAGTCCTCATCGACGACTCATGTGATAGGAGCTCGCCATAGATAATTTGTGATGATGCGACAAAAGGACAGGAGAGAGACAAAGAGATTGGATGGGAGAGCGGAGGAAGGATGGGCCATATGGCGGACTCAGGCAAGAAATTGGATGTAAAGGGCATGGTGAAAATGCATCGTAGTAGGGAGAAGGAAGGGGGGAGCGAAGTGGGGAGGGGGGAAGGGAGTATGGGAAATGGGACATAGGAAGAATGTAACATCTCGTCTCCTAGACCACTAGTCCAAACGAGTGCTGTTCAGAGTCGCAGCGGTTGCGTTACTCTCGTCCCCCTCTGGTGCCAGCGTTCTCGTTGGTTCAAGGACTCGCAAGGACCTCTCTCAGGGCGTGGAACATGGGTTGCGCAACCCATCGAAGTTGCGCAACCCAGCCGGTAACCGGGGTCGCCAAACCTCGCTTGGCGTGTAAAATATGGGTTGAGCTGGTTTTAGTTGGGTTGGGTTGGGTATTTCGCCAGTTGCACAATCTGGGTTGAGGTCTCGAGGCAAAGCGCAACACATGTTCCATGCCCTCAGTTCACTAGAAGCAACGGCGAACTCACTGGCGCTTCAGGCAAGTGCGACAGGATAGTTTGCTGTGACCCCTTGGTCAGGAAGAATATGTGATCATTAGGACTCGAAACCAGGCGCTCATCACCGACTGTACCATCTCGTCCACTAGACCACTATCGTAGCGGGAAACATGCCCCATTTTTAAGAAGGAAGAACATCGAACACCCCATATTTTGAGGTATTACAACACCCTATTTCCAAGGTTCGGAATTCCTCACATTGCGAGGGTGCGAGCTTGATGCTGGGCGCCTGGTTCGGCGGTGTTGTGAACGTCGCTGGCTCATGCAGGCGACGAGCGACGGACGCCGCGCGACGGTCGGTGACAAATGAAGCTCGGGATGCGCGGCCGCCGCGTGCGGTTATCAGCACATTATGGGCATGGACGGTGGTGGCCGAGAGAAGTAAGACGAGCAGCAACGCGCAGCGAAGGCGGCAGAGGTCGGGAGGGGTACGTGACATAATCACCGCCATGGTGGTCGGAGGAAAAAACTTGCTGACGAAAGGGGGCGAGATTGTCTAAAAGACGAACTGTACGGAAGCCGATGACGAAGATGTGTACTAGCGCGGGTTGAAAGCAGAAGATGTGAGTGCGAGGTGAAAGTGTATGAGCTTGAGAACAAGGTTCGACGTTGAGTGCCGAAAGGGTTGCGCAGCCTCTTTATGAAGATGCATTCCGTTAACAAACAAACGAAAAAGAGATCTGAAAACTTTGAATACACTCGCAAGGAACAAACTTTTGTAATACGGTATTGATGAGCATGCCAATACGCGTAAGTGTCAATTACGGGGCCTGGTAGGATCTTTATTGGGTAATATTTAAAAAAAAATATGAATGGTTCGATATGGCACGCACTTAGCAATATTGCATGAATTTTTGTTTGGAAAAAACATCAATATGAATGGATACTTTGAGTGTGCATATCACTTTTGCAGTATGGCCTGGTCAGCGCTTAGGGCGCGTCACACTTCTGTGACCGTCAAGCGAGCACCAGTTTTCGGCGAAAGTAACAAAATTTACGACACTCGTCAAATTGTCGCGACAGCCCCGAGATTCCCACTCCGAAAAATGTGACACCTGCTACAGCCCAATTCTCCCCATGTTCATTTCGGTGTTCGTTATCATGCTCGTCCTTTGCGAATCTCTGCGAAAACAACGCTTCAACATAGGTTCGGGAAAATCAAAGTTCATAAAAATGTGACGCGCCCTTAGGGCGTCTGGTTGGTTACAATGAGGGGGTTTTTTCCAGCCGTTGTTGCACCCTAATCATTGCGAGCAAAGGGTGCAGTTAGTTTCGTACGAGGTGTCGTTTTCACGTTATTGTGTCACGTGCCTCAGCCCAGTCTGCCTTGGGAAACAGCAGAAACCAGCAGAAACTATATGGGAAACCGGCAAATTCGTGTCGCCTAAATGCTGGAACAGAATCAAGAAACGCGCGGTTCGGATGCAGGTTGCGCGGTTCTTGATTCCTCCGAAATTCCTTTGCCCAATTCTTGAAGTCATTTCACCTCGACATTTGCAATCTCACGGAAGGATGATCAAGAACGTCTCCCACAGCTTTCAACCTGGCCTCGGTCTACCTTGGTAAGCTTGTTAAAACCCTTTTTTTTTTCTAGTTTCTAGTGTAGTTAGCTATGATGGAGAGGTGGACTAGCATGGCGCACGCCACGCCATCCCCGTGGCGGCGCCACCAGCCATGGCGCTCGTCCCGCTCCCTGCGACGCTCGCGCCGCTCTCGTGGCGACGAGCGCGACGCTCGCCACGAACCGTGGCGGCGATCGCGGCAGTCGCCGCTCACGCATGCGCGCTTTCGTGACGGCAGTCGCCGCTCACGCACGCAGTCCCCACGCATCGTGACGGCGGACGCAGCGCTCGCCGCGCTCGGCTGGCGTGCTGGCGTGGCGCACGCTGCCTTCGTCGCTTTTCCTCCATACCTAAACCTCCATACCACCACTCCTCCATTTGTCCATACCTCCACACGTCCATTCGTCCATACCTCCACTCCTCCATTCGTCCATACCTCCACACATCCATTCGTCAATATCTTCACTCCTCCATTCGTCCATACCTCCACCAACCATACCTCCACACCTCCATACCTCCACACCTCCACACCTCCACACCTCCACCCCCCCATACCTCCATACGTCCATACCTCCACACCTCCATGCCTCAATACCTCCACACACCTCCACACCTCCATACCTCCATACCTCGATACCTCCACACCTTCACACCTTCACACCCGCATCATTCCACACGTCCATACCTCCACACCTCCATACCCCCACACACCTCGACACCTCCATTCCTCCACACGTCCACACCTCCACATCCCCATACCTCCACACGTCCATACCTCCACCCCTCCATACCTCCATACCTCCACACACCTCCACACCTTCACACCCCATTATTCCACACGTCCATACCTCCACACCTCCAAACCTCCATACCTCCACACATCTCGATACCTCCATTCCTCCACACCTCTACACCTCCACACCCCCATACCTCCATACGTCCATACCTCCACACCTCCATACCTAGATACCTCCACACACCTCCATACCTCCCTACCTCCACGTCTCCACATCTCCATACCTCCACACACCTCCATACTTCCATACCTCCACACCTCCACACCTCCACACCCCCATACCTCCACACGTCCATACCTCCATACCTCCACCCCTCCATACCTCCACACCTCCATACCTTCACACCTCCAAACCTCCATACCTCCATACCTCCACACCTCCATACCTCCACACACCTCCATACCTCCATACCTCCACACGTCCACACCTCCACACCCGCATACCTCCACACGTCCATACCTCCACACCTCCATGCCTCCATACCTCCATACCTCCAAACTTCCATACCTCCATACCTCCACACCTCCATACCTCCAAACCTTCATACCTCCATACCTCCACACCTCCATACCTCCACACCTCCATACCTCCATACCTCAAAACCACCACACCTTCACACCCCCATACGTCCACACGTCCATACCTCCACACCTCCATACCTCCATACCTCCACACACCTCCACACCTCCATACCTCCACACCTCCACACCACCACATCCCCATACCTCCACACGTCCATACCTCCACACCTCCATACCTCCATACCTCCGCACACCTCCATACCTCCGTACCTCCACACCTCCACACCTCCATACCTTCACACACCTCCATACCTCCGTACCTCCATCTCTCCATACTTCCATACCTCCACACCTCCATACCTCCATACCTCCACACACCTCCACCCATCCATAACTCCAAACCTCCACACCTCCACATCTCCACACCCCCATACCTCCACATGTCCATACCTCCACACATCCATACCTCCATACCTCCATACCTCCACACCTCCACCCCACCATACCTCCATACCTCCACACCTCCATACGTCCATACCTCCAAACCTCCACACCTCCAAACCTCCATACCTCCACACCTCCATACCTACACACCTCCAAACCTCCATACATCCATACCTCGACACCTCCATACCTCCACACACCTCCATACCTCCATACCTCCCCACCTCCACACCTCCACACCCCCATACCTCCACACGTCCATACCTCCACACCTCCATGCCTAGATACCTCCACACACCTCCGCACCTCCATACCTCCATACCTCCATACCTCCATACCTCCACACCTCCACCCCTCCATACCTCCACACCTCCATACCTACACACCTCCGAACCTCCATACCTCCATACCTCCACACCTCCATACCTCCACACACCTCCATACCTCCATACCTCCACATCTCCACACCTCCACACCCGCATACCTCCACACGTCCATACCTCCAAACCTCCATGCCTCCATACCTCCATACCTCCAAACTTCCATACCTCCATACCTCCACACCTCCATACCTCCAAACCTTCATACCTCCATACCTCCACACCTCCATACCTCCACACCTCCATACCTCCATACCTCAACACCACCACACCTTCACACCCCCATACGTCCACACGTCCATACCTCCACACCTCCATACCTCCATACCTCCACACACCTCCACACCTCCTTACCTCCACACCTCCACACCACCACATCCCCATACCTCCACACGTCCATACCTCCACACCTCCATACCTCCATACCTCCGCACACCTCCATACCTCCGTACCTCCACACCTCCACACCTCCATACCTTCACACACCTCCATACCTCCGTACCTCCATCTCTCCATACTTCCATACCTCCACACCTCCATACCTCCATACCTCCACACACCTCCACCCCTCCATAACTCCAAACCTCCACACCTCCACATCTCCACACCCCCATACCTCCACATGTCCATACCTCCACACGTCCATACCTCCATACCTCCATACCTCCACACCTCCACCCCACCATACCTCCATACCTCCACACCTCCATACGTCCATACCTCCAAACCTCCACACCTCCAAACCTCCATACCTCCACACCTCCATACCTACACACCTCCAAACCTCCATACATCCATACCTCGACACCTCCATACCTCCACACACCTCCATACCTCCATACCTCCCCACCTCCACACCTCCACACCCCCATACCTCCACACGTCCATACCTCCACACCTCCATGCCTAGATACCTCCACACACCTCCGCACCTCCATACCTCCATACCTCCATACCTCCATACCTCCATACCTCCACACCTCCACACCTTCACACCCGCATTATTTCACACGTCCGTACCTCCACACCTCCAAACCTCCATACCTCCATACCTCCACACCTCCATACCTCCACACACCTCCATACCTCCATACCTCCACATCTCCACACCTCCACACCCGCATACCTCCACACGTCCATACCTCCACACCTCCATGCCTCCATACCTCCATACCTCCAAACTTCCATACCTCCATACCTCCACACCTCCATACCTCGAAACCTTCATACCTCCATACCTCCACACCTCCATACCTCCACACCTCCATACCTCCATACCTCAACACCACCACACCTTCACACCCCCATACGTCCACACGTCCATACCTCCACACCTCCATACCTCCATACCTCCACACACCTCCACACCTCCATACCTCCACACCTCCACACCACCACATCCCCATACCTCCACACGTCCATACCTCCACACCTCCATACCTCCATACCTCCGCACACCTCCATACCTCCGTACCTCCACACCTCCACACCTCCATACCTTCACACACCTCCATACCTCCGTACCTCCATCTCTCCATACTTCCATACCTCCACACCTCCATACCTCCATACCTCCACACACCTCCACCCCTCCATAACTCCAAACCTCCACACCTCCACATCTCCACACCCCCATACCTCCACATGTCCATACCTCCACACGTCCATACCTCCATACCTCCATACCTCCACACCTCCACCCCACCATACCTCCATACCTCCACACCTCCATACGTCCATACCTCCAAACTTCCACACCTCCAAACCTCCATACCTCCACACCTCCATACCTACACACCTCCAAACCTCCATACATCCATACCTCGACACCTCCATACCTCCACACACCTCCATACCTC